ATTAGGCATATCAAGACACCCCCATACCATCCACAGTCTAACGGCTTAGTCGAAAGGTTCGTGGACACTTTTAAAAGAGCATTGCTTAAAGCCGAAGGGGAAGGAGAAATAGAAGATATAATTCAACGATTTTTACTAAGCTACCGCGCAACTCCCAACCCAGCAACAAATAATCAAGAAAGCCCGGCAGAAGTAATTTTTGGAAGAAAGATTAGAATACCTATGGAACAAATGAAGCCAAAACCTGAAGTCATTCAATGCAAGAATAAACGAATGGAACTGCAATTTAACAAAAGGCATGGTGCCCTATCCAGAAGGTTTAATGTGGGACAAGCAGTAATGGCAAGAGATTATCAGGGAGTTAAGCCAACCTGGAAATTTGGCATCATAGTCCGAAGAAAAGGGAAAGTTATTTATGAAGTGAAAGTTGGACAAAAGATATGGGTACGACATGCAAACCAGATACAGCCGACCAGACAGGAGTGGGAGATAGAAAGTGATAGAAAGCATGATATACCATTAAATATATTAACCGAGTCGGATAATGAAATTAAAAAGGACCCGAATAAAAAGAAGACGTGTACAACACTCCCAAGGCGGTCGCAGCGCATCAGGCGGAAACCTAATCGCATAAAAATAAATTCCAGGGATCGCTATTATCCATGATGCTTCAAAAAAGGGGAGGTGTTATATACTAGGAAAAAGTAAGTACTGATAACTTACGGGACCTCTTATTAGACTATTAATCTATTTATATTCCTATGGTATAACTATTCAGTAACTGGATTATCTATATCTATATTCATCTTATTACTAGCTTCATTTTGACCTATTGATTATTACTATATGATTTACTGTCCCTACGTTATGCTCAGTTTTATTGATTATTGTCTCCCACGCTTACAGCTCCATTTGGCCTGGTTTTGTACAAATATTATTTTCTATTTTATGGTGTGGTCTGCCTGTCTGGTATATAGATAAAGTATGCTTGAAATAAACGATTCGCATTACAGCAGCTGCTATTGGTGTTCTAGACTCAAGTGGACGGGTAGGCGGATAAGGACCAATAAGGACGCTAGATTACTCATATTAATCGAACGTCATTGTCACAGTGTGAAGGTCGTAGAAGGCGTATTCTATTGGTGGATCATTTACGAGAATTACGTCCTTGTTAAGTTCGTAAGGTCATAACGAATCAGCGACGACCTTGATCAAGTCATAACAATTGGCTATAGCCTAGGTCAAATCATAACAAAGTGACCTTTGGCTTTTTCGGTGTCTTCACTTTCGGCTTGGTGACCTTCCTTTTCTTAGGCTTTTTTAGAGTTGTTTTGGGATTATGATCACATGGTGCTTTTATTTTTGGCTTAGCAACCCTGAACTTGGCTAATAAAAAGGAACGATGAACTTGACACGAGACATCTTTAAAACGAGCATACGCCACACCATATGCGAATTCTGTGGCGTCGACAAAGCGATAAATCTGAGTAGGTAGTGGTTTGTATAATCCTAGTACGAGACATCTTGGAAGCAACAGTTTACTTAAGCGCTTCATACCTCTGAGCATACAGTTCCATCTTACAGAGCACTCTCTAGGAAGTTCGTCGCATGAAAGATTTAGCCGACAAGCATCTTGCGAAATTAATTTAGCTGGTAAAACAATTGGAGCTATAAACCCATCTGGGTCGAATATAGATGCTACATACGACAAAATGGTTTTCCTTGCAGGAGTCACATCCAACTTGTACATCCTGAAGATATTATCCGTTCGAACATTCCACTCTTTTCCTAGAATCCTTTCATTTTCTTCCACAGATAAACAAATATCTACGTTCCTGTCTATATGGTCTCCCTCTGAAATAAACTTTATTAATTCAACATTGTTGCTGGCCCACTTGGTTAGATTAAAACCCCCTAAACGTAACATTTCCTTCAGCTGTGAATATACTAATTTAGCTTCTTCCAACGTATCGACACTGGTTAATAAATCATCAACGTAGAACTGTTCCTTCGCTGTCTGTATAATACATTCAGGAAACTTAGCTTCGTTATCTAGAATAGTTCTTTGTAGAGCAAACGTTGCGCAACTGGGTGAGGAGGTCGCACCAAACAAATGCACTTTCATCCTATAGGTCTCTGGTTCATTTCTTATGTCACCCTGCGGCCACCATAGAAATCTAAGGGCGTCACGATCCTGTGACGGAACAATCACTTGATGAAACATAGCTTCAATATCTGCCGTGAGGCCTATTGGTCGTCGCCGAAATCTGGTGAAGACATCTACCAAATTGTTAACTAAATCTGGACCAGAATACAAGTTTTTATTAAGGGATATCCCGGCATATTGTGCTGCACAGTCGAATACGATTCTTAGTTTATTAGGCTTTTTCGGATGGAAGACTGGGTGGTGCGGTAGATACCAAACTCGACATCTAATAAAGTCCCCTGAAGCCTTTTCTGCGTAACCCTTTTCAGCATACTGAGCCATCACATTAATATATTCTTTGTGCAACCTCTGGTCACGGATAAATCGGTTTCTCAAGGAAATTAATCTACTCATCGCTAGTTTTCTATTATTAGGTAGACTTTGCTGGTGACGCCAGGGTAAAGCTATCTGGTAATGCCCGTTCACTAACTGTATAGATTTGGACGTAGTATCCAAGGCTTTACGATCTTCAACCGACATGGGCACACGATGGTTCGGGTCTTCTTCGAAGTCCATCTTATATAGCTGGTCCAATCTAGCTTCTAGTTCCTCTTTAGATGATAGATAATTTATGATACCCATATTTCTCGTGGTCTCAATGTAAGGTCCAAACAACGTCCACCCTAAAGGAGTTTTTATAGCGTATGGTTCATTAGATTTTCCCACCCTCTTCTCTCCTATCTCATGTGCCTCAGGTACATTGCAACCTATCAGTACCTTGACGTCTTCATCGTCAACTGTCGGGAGGGTCACACCACGCAAGTGCGACCATGATACCATCTGAGATGTTGTTGGTACCGTCCTGCGTAACAGAGGTAATCTCTCGACTGTCCATACCTTTGGAATTCTAAATGATGAAGAAGAATCCAGGGAGGAGACTTCTATTTGAACCTCTTTACAATGAAATGTGGACTGGCTATCTAGCGTTTTCAGTAAAAGCGTTTTGGACTCTCCCTCTAAACCCAACCTTATAGCTAGATCTTCTGTAATAAGCGAAGCATCTGAGCCACTATCTAAGAAAGCGCAAGTCTGAAATGATCTTTCTCCATTTTTTACCAATACGGGCACTATCGCAAATGCTACTTGTCCCTGTACATGCTTAGCACTTTCTTCCGTACAGAGTTGGGTATTAATATGGACATTACTGTTACTATCGCTCTGCTCCTCCCGCTTTCTGTGTAACAAGGTATGGTGTCTCCAACCACACCCATCGACAGCGCATGATCGCGGTGCTCGACAGTTTCTTGCTATATGGTTCGCCTTCAGACAGACATTACATAACTTCTTCCTTAATACAAATTCTATTCTTTCACTAACATCCTTATCTCTAAACGTTTCGCATTGGTCCAAGGGGTGGTTTCCATTACATAACAAACATGATAACCCAAGAGTTCTTGGTCCTACGTGTGGGGAGACAACAGACTCACTCGTGTTAGCAAACGACACTCTGGCTTTGTACTCTGAATCAAAGGGCCTTTTTGTAACGGCAACTGATTGCCTTTGGTTGCGGTTAGAAATATCACCGCTGACAAGTAATCCATACCTAGTATTAGCAATGTCTGATTGCTCCTTCACAAATTCACAAAGGTCCTTGAACAAAGGCTCTCTACCTGTCTTAAGAATCCTAGATGCAACTTTAACCCATTCTCTCTGCAAATGCAGTGGGAGTTTTAAGAACATACACTCGATGGTCTTTGTAGAATTAAGATCGGATACATAGTTCATCTGCGTGAGTGTGAGCTCACAAACATGCATCTCACGAGACAGTCTTCTTAAACCATCTGGATCAGTCCCCTTAATAGCAGGGATATTCAGCATCTTATCAATAAATGCATGGGCCACGATATGCTTCTGACCAAATGCTTCCTCGAGAAGCTCTAACGCCTTTCGGTAGCCTTCTTCTGGCTCAAGCAATGCACAGTGAACAATGGTAGCCTTAGCTTCACCATCACAATACTGAATCAAATAATTTAACCTAGATCGGAATCCAACTCTTTCGTCAAAACAGTCTTCGAAATTTCGTATGAAGCTCCAATAGTTCATGGGATTGCCATTAAACCTTATAATCTCTCTCTTTGGTAGGTCTAAAGCTCTAGATATCATTGTTATCCAATCCTTTTCAGGAGGAATATCAACTGCAGGTGAGGCAAATGTAGACTTGTACATCGCTTTGTCAGCCACAGCTTGATTATAATGTTCTCTTCCCTTCTGACGTAAGTGTTCTAACTCGATTTCTCTTTCTGTCTGAGTTAAGCGTATTTTAGCTAATTCTAACTCTAACAAGGGATCCATTCGACAGCTATTTCCTCCAAACTGGTCATCATTATGAGTGTCCGAATAATGGGGAGACAATTCAGGAATCTGATCCGTTTTATGATTCTTCATCGACATTTAACAGTACTCAATGTGTGAATTTTTGATGAGATACTGGTCGAAACTATGTAGGATTTATTTTGTCCTACAGATATACTATTAAAACTGTAAACGCGAGTCTATGTGAAAGCTATAGTCAGAACAAGGACAACTTGGCTTTAAACTTTATCTGTTTCTGAACATAAAAACAATTAGATTAGTACAATAATAAAAGAATTACAGTCATTAAGTGAAACGCACAAACATACCGACCAGTATTGCGTGTCTTAATAAAATGAATAAATTTATGAGTCACACTAATATAATAGGATAATAATGTCTTTCAATTGGTAGGTCACATGCAACAGGGATAGTTTACAGACACATCAGACCATGTTAACGTGGTGGGAGCTTAAGCAACGATTTGATTGATTAGTTATGGACATAACTAACAGTCAGTTTAGATTCGCTCGAAGGTCTTCCATAACTTAAAGTCTAATCATTTATTTTATCCTTAGCTAATACTATATAGTTCATATTGTCCCTATCTATATATAACAATACCGTATTGGTTGAATCATTAAAGCTAGCATTACATACCCGCGTACGGCCTCCACAAGCGTTACGCCCTAATGTGAACTTAACATCCAATTTTTGCAAATGAATAATTATCGAACACAAGTGAACTGAAGCAATCTGCAATCACCAGTATTTAAGCTACTATTGGACAATACCAAACAACTAATGAATTCACACTTTCATCCAATCAGTTTCAGGTTTAATTTCGTTGTCTGATTGGATGATTTTGAAAATATCGATCTAGAAAAGGAAATACTTTTTTTTATTAGATTTGCAAAATCTTAGAATAAACAACTCTTGCTGATTGTCCATTAAATGAATGAAGAGAATACTTTACACCTTGATATGTTTGATTTGTGGTTTCACCTTGTTTCTATGCTTAATATTTCACCAATTGTTATCATTTTCTGTTGCGAATATCCCAATGCCCCACTCTAGGATTGATTCGGAACTTGCATTATTCATTACAAATGAATTATCTCGACTATTAAGTCCAGACATTCCAACAGTGGAAGATGTCGGTGATACTGTAGTGAGAGCTTGGTTTAAACATGAAAAAGAATTTTGTCTAAAAGGTACGTCTTGTTTTTGGTAATTTAATGCTCTGATCTACAAGATGATCTAGTTGTGTGATTGTCAGAGATTATGTGAAATTGATGATGGACTGAAAACAGTAGGAAAATTTTGAAGTTTTATCTTCAAATTTAACTAGTATCCATAAGTCACCTCACCGAACAATAATCCGATACTCAATAGTGAATAACCTCAGGATAAATTTACCGAATTACTAAAGAGTTTTAGTGACAGTTCGAGTTTACCGATGTCAGTCATGAGACAATCACCTAGTATCAATATCGGTCTTTGACCACACCATATCGGCAATCGACTAAAATTCAGAATGCGAACAGTTTTATCTCTGTTCTATCTCTCGACGATATCGTTCTCGTTTATGAGGCTTGAATGTTTGTGAGATCTTTGAGGTGGATCAGGAAGGGTTCTAATCTAAGACTGAAACTATTATTTTATACCCTGATTTCCCAATTTTCCAACCAGTGTTAAGTTCATGGTGAAAGCTATCTTTATATCAAGTAAAACTTAATTAACTAACATTGCAAAGTAAAAAAAGACGTCTAAACTTTTTAAAGTCAGTTTTGTTTCCAACTAGAGGAAATTTGCTATTAATCTAATACGTCGAGTTATTGACTAACCATACTATTACACAATAAATATAGCTCATTATTTTGAATAAATCTTTGCATGGTTTTTTTTGTTGGTCACTAGTTTTGAATGGTACTCATCATTTGTTCAATAGTGAAGGATGTCGAAATAGTTGTCTTATTTCAACTCAACCATATAGTCGACGTAATGTCATTATTATACCATATCGAAGTCGTGCAGAACATTTGATGAAACTAATTCCACGTCTGGTTGAATTACTGACAAAACAGAATCTATGTTCTTTGTTAATTGTTTCTGAACAGGTATGTTTCTGAAGAAGTTATTATCATTGTTACCATAAATAATACTAATAATCTTATTACTTATTAAGCCATACATGAGATAGCGTTAAAGCGATCCAAAGTTATTAAGTACCATATAATTTTATTTTAAAATCGAAATTGTCCTTTATGGTGAGAACATTATCTTTTGAATTCAGACTTCATGATTGTATGCAAACCTTATTTGTCAGAATTTTTCACTTAAGAAATAAGGACAGCATTGTACCGATAACTGTTGTCTAATATTAAAGTAAACATTTATGTAGACCCGTTAGTAATAGGTTAGTTTTTATCACAAACTACTACCAGTTAAAGAACTACTAGAAACCATGGAGTATTGGGCATCTCTCTTGTTCGAAACCAACACTCACTAGTAATGATCACGAACAACCACACAAGTGTTTAGGACCGAGATCCTCCGTCTCTGTGTAAGGTAACAGAACAGAACAAAAATGAAATAAATATCCTAATATTTTATTCATACTAATCATCTGACAGTATTCAGATGCATATAAAACTGAAAGCTAATTAACTTCTAGTTTCTAGTGAGTTTTGTGGAGTAGAATATTCGTGTTCATTTGAGTTTGATTTATCAAGAGTTTATCTCAAAGCTAAGAATGAATCCAATCCACATCATCCCATACACACTTTATTATATTTTAAATTATAAAATTCTCTTAAATTGTTTAATTCCACATTGTATTCTCTAATACAAATTTTGAGGTTTGCATTTACCACTGGTTGTCTTTCGTATCTGAACCTATTCAAATCATTCGTCTCCACTATTTTCTGAAAATAAGTATCCCTCTTTACAGATTGATCAACAACCATTTAATAAGGGAATAGTCATGAACACTGCATTTGTGGAAGCATTGAATTGGTTGCCGTTTCATTGTGCAATATTTCATGATGTTGATCTAATGCCAATGAACAATGAGATTGATTATACGTGCTCAATCTATCCTAAACATATAAGTGTAAGCGTAGATAAATTTCAAAACAGGTACCTATTATTATTATCATTGTTATTATTATCACGATTATTATTATCATTACTATTATCATTATTAGTTAATACATATCACTCGACCTAATAATTTATCCTCTAACTGATCGGCAACTTGGATCGATATATACACGCCAGATTCTAGTTTACGTATGGCTGGGTGAATTGATTGATTAATAAAGATTTTGTCAGAATCACTAACAATTATTCACTACAAAGACATGTTGAGATAGATAAAGAGGTTTTATACTCTACAGAATGAATCATTATTACGCATATTTTTCATTCAAGTTATAAATTTGTCAGTTGATTGACACTAATGAACTTTCAGAACTGTATATCAACTATAAAACAAGACAAATAATTGGATGGAAAAAAACTTTTACAACATAAAATTAGTTCATTATTTATGGCGCATATAGTTATACCTGTCTTCACTCACTAACCAATCTCAGCTTACATTGCTTAGAAATATCCCGTGGAACTATACAGGCGAAATTTGATGATTTATACAAATATTGGTGGTTAACTGTCTCACGATTGGTTAATCTTATAGATAACACAATCTTTTCAGGATTTATCGAGTTCCCTCTTGAAGCTTGTCATCGGTGAATATACAATTGTAAGTTAATTATATGGTTTATAAAGATATATGTGTATTTTCTCGGCTAAGTCTTCGTTTTGTTTTGTTTTATATTTTATTGAAAAGGCTCCCTTACATTGAACTAATCGGTGGTGTTTTATCCATTCCACTTAAAGCCTTTCTTCGTGTCAATGGGTATTCCAATTTATTTTGGGGTTGGGGTGCAGAAGACGATGATATGTATGAGAGGTGATTGTTTTTTAGTCAGATCAATAATTCATTATATTCAGTCATTCTATGTGTTTGTACGTAAGAATTAGTTTATTTTACAAATCGAATACAATCGCGACTGGTCACATTAACAAAAAAATCGACGAGTGATGTATATAAGTCTGGTGGTATAAGTAGTTAAACCATTTGACTTTTCTGTATTAAATGCGTCAACTTATAAATGATGATATGGATCTTCTTGTTGTTACGATTCGTATACATAGTTAACTCAATAACTCAAACTAACATAGGTTCAAGGATAGCTATCAGATTTACTGAAGTACCAGCAATGAGATATTTAACTCAATTATAATAGAATAAACTAGGAGCTGGAGACTGACATGAGATTGTTCGAATTTCATAGGTTTACATGTGATTCAATGGTAGTCTAACGTTAATCGATTCATGATCTCAATAAAAAAAAGTCAACAATCTCTACAACCTTATACTGATAAGGCGAAAAGAAACTTATTTATAATGATGAATGATATATTGTCAAAAACATTGGGTTAAATGAAAAAAACCTTATTGGTACTGTTATAAGTTACTTGAAATAATAAATCAACTAGACAAATGTATATGCAAATTCATTATAATTTAAAAATGAACAATATTTGAGCGAACAATTGTTTTCAATAACTTAATCATCAGGCTCTACAGTTATAAGCCCATAATTATAATTTGACCATAATACTTAAATTTATGAAGAATCAATAATTTACTTAAGAAATGGCATACAACTTAATGATAATTTCCAAAATTCTAATTTTCTTTTTTTTTATTTTCATAGTACACTACTTTTATTCAGCTTTTTAAACTAATTTTTTACAGGCTTATGGTAAATGAAATTCCTGTCATACGTCCTGATCCAAATGTAGCACAATTCACAATGCTCAAACATAAACCAAGTCTTGCATTTCATTCAGCCTTGAGGTATGTTTCAACTATTAGCATGAAATTAATTATTTTTGTTAATGAACGAGCGCAAAACACTAATCACTCTATTCATGAACAAACTAATATAGTGTTCATCTTAAAATTCCAATTATTTTACGATCTACAATGAATCAACCACATAATTCACCTTTGAGCCCAGCTTACAACGATTAGTTAATCCAACTAAAATGGGTAAACAGGACAATTCTATTGGGAAGCTATATTGTTCATCAATAATACATTTTCTATATGTATCGATATTTGATAGTATTGGTGTAAATTTGGATCTTTTGGCACATCAAGTGATGTTTTTCCTCTACCTTAATTTCACGCTTTTATTTCCATCGACAGAGTAAGTTACATAACAGCTGATGTCATTTCGTGATAAAAAACCAAACCCTGGGTCCCTAATTCTGCCTCAAAGTGTCTAACCCTAACTAGAGCCAATATAGAGACTCAAAAACTTGTTTGAGTCCTTGAAAGGGTTCTAAGATATGGACAAGGTATATCCATTATGATGAGTTTATGTCGCTATCTTCGATTTATGGGCAGAATAATCTGTAAAAGATAATAATAGACTTGATAGTTATGTACTATCAATTTACATTTTGAAATATTACTCTTTTTGTTCACAAACTATTTATCTATAAAGGCTGCCCTCTGATTGCCTGGAAACTATCTGGAAAATCGTCGTGGTTATTTTAAACTCGTTTCTACACAATATTGTCACCGACTTTAGACTCACGCCCCAAATTTGGCGCATGAGAGCGAGAATTTAAATTGTAGAGCTAAAAACTCCAAGATTTTAATGGTATACCTCACACATTACTCTCATTTTGGTAAATTATTAGAAATTATTTTCACATAATTCTTCAAAATATTTACTTTTTATTTCATCTCAGAACTCAAATATTATCTTTCACAAAAGTAAGATATCGCCTTGATGGAATCAACAGTTTAAATTACACACTTGTTGAATCACAAATAAAATTATATAATCAATTTCACAGTTTACTGAATAACGATGAAGTAACTAAAACAACACATTTTTTACATGAAAACAACACTTTCAGATCAATTTCAAAATTAAATTATCCAATTTTGCATCTAAAAATTGATGTTGGTAAACCTCCAGTTGAGTTCATTAGGGAAGATAATTCTACATGAAAAAACCAAGCCAGTACATAGAGAAGAAAATTGTAACTTGGATTTTCATTTGCTCACAAACACAATTGTCCAATCGAGTAATTAAGAGCAAATAATGAACAACAGTGACAGACACTGACAAATTACAGATTATGGATGAAGACCGTACAAACCACAGAACCAGTCATTCCTATACTATTGGTAAGTACGTATGTATCAATCCTTTGTCAATCAATAGAATTACAATGAGCCGATAACCAACGAGGCCAACAAATCATAATTTAGCCACTTTGACAACATAACGAAGAGTCAATTACTTTTCGGGAGAACGATTGTAAAAAGCCTCCAAACTCATTGGATTTATTCTGCGGTGGCGAGATATCAGTCTTTAATATTGATTATGATGGTGATGGTGAAGACTAATAGCACGGAACGAATCGATGGATTATTAAAAATAAACATTACTGGTTAACATGCATAATTCATAGACTTCGTCCCTTAATCAAAATTGAAGCAAGGATAGCTACTTTGATTGTCGTTCTCGCTTTCATTAATAAATATCTACACATTAAAAAACCAAAAAATACAAGTGCACAATATTTAGTGTAATGAAGCATAAGTGTATTTAACGCATGATTTCATGTTAGATATTTCTTTTCTTTTTGTCTCAACACTTTATGCTGAGTAATGAACATGAATATCAAAGTATATATATATATATATATATATATATATATATATATATATATATATATATATATATATATGTACAGTCTATTACATAGGGAAAGGGAGAGACATAAATGACATACCGAACAGTAACTGGAGAATAGGAAAAATGAGTCAACAAGGCGAATATTCAAAAAAAATTTAAAAAATTCATTCGCTGAGATTTTACAAATATATTATTCCTATTTAATGTCTTACTTCAACTCGGCGCTCAAATACTGTGAAACTATTCGTTCTAATTTAGACGAGAGTTCTTATATAAGGCGAATATTGTTTTAGGATTAACATAAAACTGTGATTGGTGGATAAACGAGACAAGGTCACACAAGGTCAAAGAAAGTTAATGTGGTGGTGAGCGTTTCACCTTATATTTGGTGTGTTCGTTTATCGGTCTCACTTTACACTCCCCCCGAAACGTGAACCACGTCCATCGTCCTTGGTCGTCGTTGTCGCCGACAGATAACCGGCTTCTTCCAGTAGACATAGGCTTCGTACATCCCGAAAGATTTCTTCGTTTGCCATTCTCAACTTTGCTGTACGAACTCGTCCATCAGGGCCATAGCTTACCTGTTCGACAATGACTTTAGGCCATAGACTTCTACTCGTTTCAACGCTACTAACGAGAACTAGGTCGCCCGGTTGTAAATTCTGGCATATATTCAACCATTTGTCTCTTATTTGGAGAGTCGGTAGATATTCTCTTATCCACCTATACCAAAATGCGGTAGTTAACCTCCGAGCTTCTTTCCATCTTTTATTGTATAATAAAGTCTTATCCACGGAAACATCGTAGGATGATAATCCCTTGTAAGTCAACAACGATTTATCTGGAATAAGAGCCTCTGGGGTGCCAGGATCATCCGTCATTTTAACTAGTGGTCTGTTATTTAATATCCTCAAAGCTTTGTCGGTCAGCACATTTTGAAATAAAAGCGCTCTTAGAATCGCCTAATAGATGACCGATGAAATGGCAATATTTAACTGTCCCTTTGCATACTTTCCGACTTAAGTACAGAGAACACAGGCTCTTAATTCCATTCTGGGCATAGTGACAAATTTTGGAGGAGCAACTCTAAACTTAGCTACCAGAAAAGAGCGATGAATCTGACCAGAAACACTTTCATAACGAATATACGTAACATCATACACAAGCTCAGAAGCATCGATAAAACAATGAATTTGAGATGATGGTTCAAACCCTGGTTTCAAACATCTTGGTATTCTTAAGTAGTTCGCCTCTTTAATGTGTCCACGCCGAATATTCCACGTCGCTTGACAATCTATGGGTAACTCTGCGTCTCAGTCTAATTTCTGCCGACAGGTATCTTGTAAGATCACTTTGGCTGGTAGTATTATTGAAGCTATAATCCTACTGGGTCAAAATCTACTACGACAAAATATTTCTTCTGGTTAAGTTTCCATGAAACTCATGAACTTTGAAACATAATTCTTCTGTTAGGATGTTCCACTCTATTCCCAGCGTTCGCCTACTCGTCTCATTAGACTGACAGACGGTAATGTTTCCTTCAGTACGGTCTTCCTCTGGGTTGAACTCCAACACTTCAATATTATTGCTAGTCCATTTAGTTAAGCTAAGTCCTCCCAAACTTATGAGTCTTTTGAAATGTGAATGCGTCAGTGTAGCTTCTTCTATAGCATCCACACTTATCAATAAATCGGCAACATAGAACTGTCCCTTAGCTGAGTGCGTACCAACTCTGGGGAATTTATCTTGATTATCAGAAATCGTTTTCTGCAAGGCAAACGTGACGCAACATGGTGATGAGGTTGCTCCGTACAGATAGACTTTCATTCTACAGACCTCTGACTCCTTTTCTTAGTCCCTATCTGGCCACCTCAAATACCTAAGAGCATCTCAACCATGTGCTGAAACTACTACTTGATGGAACATGGCCTCAATGTCCGCCGTAAAACCTATTGGTCGTTGCGAAGCCTGGTGAATACATCCACTAAGTTACTGACTAAATCATGTCCAGAATAAAGATTCTTGTTTAAAGATGTTCCAGCACACACTTTTCTTAACTTGTTAGGCTTCTTGGGATGGAAGACAGGGTGATGAGAAAGATACCAAATTTGTCCATCGGCGTGGTTATCATTTACCTTTTCGGCGTAATCTCGTTCTATATACCGGGCCATGGCGCTCACATAGTCTTGGAGCAACTTCGTATCCCGAATAAGCCGACCTTTCAAACAGCTAAGCCTACGTCCTGATCATTTCCTATTATTAGGTAACTTGTGTTCGTGCCTCCAAGGCAGAGCTATTTGACAATGCCCTTTAACTTTCGCACTGAATTTGATATAGCGCTGAGTGCTATACGATCTTCTAAAGACATCGATGTAGTACGACTAAATGAATCTTTGAATTCAGTTAAGTATTGTTGTTCAAACTTGTCCTTTAATTCCTCTTTATCTGAAAGGTAATTAAGTACCCAGCTATTCTCATGAAGTTCCCCGCAGCAGCCGCACAGCGTCCAACCTAATAGGGTCCTCACGGCAGACGGTTCATTCGTATTTCCGGTTTTTATCTCTTTCATCTTGTGGACACCCGGTGCATTACACCCAATCAACAGTTTGACATTCTCGTCTTCTACTCTCGGGAAACGTATGGTCTTTTAAATGAGACCAGGTTTCCATTTGATTCGCCGTTGGCAGTTTTATGAATCGCTGGTAGTTTTTTGACTGTCAACTTTCTGCACTTTAACAGATGACGAAAAATCTGTCGAGTGCAACTCTACATCGACCTCCTTGGATATCAATGACGATTCATTACTAAGAGTCTTTAAAGACACCATTTTTGGTTTTCCCTCAAGACTTAACTCATCAGCCAGATCATCAACAATGAGGGACGTGTCTGACCCACTATCTAGAAAGGTGCAAGTCAGAATAATCTTCTCACCATTTTTTATCCATACAAGCACTACTGCAAATGCTACTGGTCTCTGCATACGCTTAACACTTCCTTCCGTACAGAACTGAGTATTAATGTAAACATCACTATTGCTATCTCTCTGTTCTTCCTGCTTCCCTTGTAACAGGGTTAATCTCCAACCGCATCCTTCAACAACACATGACCTTGGCGATCGACAGTTTTTTGCTACATTGTTAGTCTTCAGACAAAGATTACCTAACTTGTGTTTAACAACGAACTCTCTCCTTTCCCTAACATTCTTGTCTTTAAACTTCTTACATTGATCTAAAGAATGATTACTGGGGCAATCCAAACAGGATGAACTAAGTAAAGGGACATTGTCATCACCAGTACTCGTATAAGATATCCTTGTTGCATTGTAATCTGCACTCGTTCTCCCCTTGAAAACCCCAACATCCCTATTGTCACTACGAATACTACGACTACTACTACTACCGTGGTTGACGAGTAACACATATCGAGTATTAGCCATATCGGCTTGTTCCTTTACAAAAGCAGTAAGGTCGGCGAACAGAGGCTCATGACCTCCTCTGATAATCTTATAAGCTGTCTTTAGCCACTTTTGTTGAACATGCGTCGGTAATTTCAGAACCATAGTTTTAATAGTTCTCGTAGAGTTCAGGTCAGAAATGTAATTCATTTGTTCGAGAGTCAAACAGCATGCTTGCATTTCCCGGGACAATTTTCTTAAACCATCTGGTTGGTTCCTTCTTATATTGGGAAAATTTAACAAGTTGTCGATGAATGTGCGTGCTATTACGTGCTTTTGACCAAAGGTTTCTTCTAAAAGCTTTAGGGTTTGATGATAGCCTATCTCTGGTTCTGGTATAGCACAATGAAGAATGGCGGCTTTCGCTTCGCTGTCACAATATTGAATCAAGTAATTTAGTTTAGCTCTAAACCCAATGTTCCTCGAAATTTCTAATAAAATTCCAGTAATTTATCGGTGTACCATCGAATCTTAAGATTTTCCTTTTTGGTAAATACAGATTTTTTAATATTACATCCTATCTGTAGTTTACTGGCCGATCGAAACCCTGACATAGGGAAAGGGAGAGACATAAATGACATACCGAACAGTAACTGGAGAATAGGAAAAATGAGTTAACAAGGCGAATATTGTTTTAGGATTAACATGAAACTGTGATTGGTGGATAAACGAGACAAGGTCACACAAGGTCAAAGAAAGTTAATGTGGTGGTGAGCGTTTCACCTTATATTTGGTGTGTTCGTTTATCGATCTCACTTTACACTATCTACCTCATAAAACAAGCGATATATTTGTACAAACCACTAACAGCTACACTTCTTACTTCCTGAAAGTTACACATAATCGTATATATTGTTATGCTACTTACTACGGTGGTAATACGCCTAAATCTGACCAACTAAAGTATTAAACAATCATTTGGTGATTGATTAGTTGAATTTGTTCAGCAGTTGCCCACCGAAGACAATGGGAAATGGTTACGCAGTATCGTGGATTGATTGGGGTTAAATATTAACACCGTTAAATGTCGGTTCAGTAGTTCAAAGGTCAAGCATTCATGTGGAAACCGAAGGACCTAGGTTTCGTTCCCGGATGCGGGGTTGTGAGTGTACACTGCTGGGGAGTACCACACTAGAACGAAACGCCGGTTCAGTGCTTTCAGGTTTTTAATGGTGATTCACCTTGCATCGATTCATGATTTCAATGAAATTAAATACAAATTAAGTATTCGTTTTATTTCGCAAATTAGTGATAAAAATAAGCAAAAGAATATAGTGAAATATCCAAGGAGAAGTTAATTCATTACATGAAATAACAAATTTTGTGAAGAGATCCACATGATAAGTAGAATAATTGTTTTGGAGTATCAAGAAGGTCTAGTTTGAAAATATCTTTTAGAAAATGGTAGTGATGAAGTTGGCAATCAGTTAAATTACTAAAACGTGGAACTACGAACAGATGTAAATGCAATCCTAGATAAAGACAGAGTCACCTTTCAGCCTTCTAATAAAAACAATGGGGAGGGACAACAGCTTATCAAAATCTTTTACTGAACTGCAGTTGTAGTCATTGTACTCACTGATGCATCTACATAAGATCGACTATTCTCTGAATTCAATTCATTACTTGTTGAACTCAACCAAATTCTCGGTATCCAAAATGCTTCTGTTTCAATACGATAGGCCATTTCAGATAATTGCTCCAATGCCACTGGTAAATCATCATTGATTAAAACAAAATCCCATAAATGGCCATGTGTTACTTCGAGACGAGATGCTGTTTGAATCATTTCGTGAAAGTGTGTTTCCTGTGTAAATAGAAAACAAAAAGTCAATCTTAACTCAAGTAATTTATCCATAACACTAAAGTGTTTTGCTACATGAATACGTCGCTCCATACAACAATCAACCAAAGATTTTTAAAGAAACTCCCGATTTCATTTCAAATATAATAGTTACCATTATCATGTTATCCAGATAATAATCCTGACTGACTTCCATCAGTCAAGTTCCAATTTGACCTCCACATTGAGTTATTCTACTTCATGATGTATTTCAATTGATGTTAGGTATTTAAAGATAACCAACAGGAAACCCTTGGTCTAGGTTTCATGATAACTGATATTCATCAGAGGGACGCATCTAGAGTCTTTGAGATAATAAACACCCCCAGTTAGATAGGAGATAGTATCACCCAATGTCGAATTTGAGGGCGTTACCACTAAATTCGTTCACCGATAAAAATTATACATGGCAATAATTACAGCTTAGAGTCAGTCAGTCAGCTACAACGTAGGACCAGGCACATATATGCATCGATTCAAGTTGCCATGCCTCATCAGCACAACATTTCAGTTTAGAAAACGTTCAGTATCTTAATTAGTATAATGTTATCATCTCTAGCTGTATCATGGGGTTTGAAACTCACGAACATATCAGTTTCTGTAAGATCATAACTAGGTTATGTTAATATGCGTGTTAATCATTAGGAAACCTAGGTTAATGGGTTCCATGTCCTATTACCAACCAATCCATATTACAATATGAAGAGTAATATTATCTTATTTCAGTTAAATATTTATCATTTCCCTCTTGTTATTTATACTCTTCTAAAAACATGTAATAGTTTACCTTCTTCCTGTCTCTTACAGATTACCTTATGTGTATTGATCTTTGTTTGTCTTGAACAATTTATGGATTTTTTAAACACCGTGCTTAATTTCCTTCCGATAATTTTCGATAATACCCCATGAAATAGTGATATATTAGTTTCCTACATATTTTATTTGCTGTCAGTTAGATTATTATTATTATTATTATTATTATTATTATTAATGGCTTTATTCAATATTATAATCTGGTACAATATAGAATTCTACTATCACAATTACTTATACGGTTCAAGGAAACGATTTTTCTTTGATTGTGCTTTCGATAGTGAAAATGACATGTGGATGTTGAACGAAAAGGATTTATCAATTACTTAATACCTTTCAGTTTCCAATAGCTCTTCGGCTGATATTAATTCGTGCTGAAAATTACTTTTAAAATATTATTGCTAAAAAATATGAAAAGGTAGTAATAATAATAATAGTAAGAATAATAGTAATTCACAATTACAGCCAATGACACTTTTTTTTGTATCTCCGTAGCCAGTATATTATCCAAAGACGATGATGCTGATAATGATGGCGCTGAGGACATTGTGTTTTTCTTCTCTTGTCCTAATTCACCGGAGACTTTCCTCCATTGTTGAGAGTTTCTTACAGGTGTAAAACAACCACCGATAGTACGATTAGTTAAATGTGGTGTAGTTGGTACAGAATGTGTTGGTGATAATTCCACAGTTGATCTTGTATCATTTATTGTTGGTGTATTACAATTACTACTTTTATGATTATATGATTGTCGTGTTTCCAACAAAACATCGAATGTTGGTGGTTTAACAAAAATTATAAACGGTTTCAATGTTGATGTCCTAAGTGACATTAAATTCTAAAAATAGATTAAAATGCATAACTTGAGTAGGCTAAAAATCTGAAGATTAAATTTTGATTCATTACGTATTTTCAACATACGAAGACGTAATATAACCCCTACAAGCTCTTTTCTGGATGCGTTAATGAAGCTCATATTACCTCGTCACACAACCAATCAGATATGATCAGCAATTTATTGATAATGAACGGTTTATTTAATCGGCGACCATATTAAACAATTAGAAATGGATAACATCAAATATAATGTTATTTTCTTCAGTTAATTCGATAATCAGTTTGTGACAATGGAGATCAAAACAACCGAGAATAGATTAATATTATATTATCTACCTACAGTAGATTGTCAATTTTTGAAAAATAAACTGTAGCTGCATTACCAATGTAGAACTAGAATTGAAAATTCAAAGGTTATTTCACTTTTAATTCATTTTGTACCGGTTACCTGAATGTTCCAATTGATGTTTAGGACTGTAACTGATCAGTCTTTTATTGACATATGCGATTCCTGTGAGGATCGCCTCGATTTTGTCTTACGTCACAAGCATTCTAAGCAGAGATGGATGGTGGCTAGCAGTGGAATCCAGGATGTGCATTTCGTCCTATATGGAACTCAGCCGGATGTACCTTCACCCCAGAGTTGATGTTCACTTCGGGCTCCAAACTGGCTGAAGAGTACTATATAGGACGGGACGCCCGTCCTGGATCACACTACTAGCCACCATTCATCTCTGCTTAGAATGCTCGTTACGTAAGACAATATCGAGGCAATTCTCACAGGAATTGCATATGCCAATAAAAGACTGATCAATTGCAGTCCTAAACATCAATGGGAAGATTCAAATAAACAATACAAAATGAATTTAAACTTCGATCCATTACACAAGCTATTGGTTATCTGGACTAAGCATCTAAGTGGATATGATGGCGTTTGAAATGGATGGTACTAGGTCTGAGTCCTGGAGTGAACGTCAACTCTGGGATGCAGGTACATCCAGCTAGTGAGCTCTAGATTGAAGAAAACGTGCGTCCTGGAGTCTACTGCTAACCACATTCCTCCTCTAGTTATCTCATTTTATTTATCTGTTCAATAGTTCACACCTATAAATTTACTATTGATTGAACACAGTACTCTGATATCACGTGGAAAGTATACTAATCTTCGAATTATTCGATTCAGTCCTAGCAGATGACAAGTTGGACTTCAATCAATTTTAAAAATGGAGATTACTGCTGGTGAAACATATTTTATGAAGCTTGGTTTCTAATCATTCGCTTGACTTAATTTACAATGCTATTTCCAGTTCATTAGTATGAAAAAACGCGATTCCGAAATTCTTGAGAGTTCTATCCATCCTCGATATGAAGACAAATTTGAATTACCACTAAGTAGTTCACAATTATAACGCTATTCAAAAGCGAAGCCAGAATATTCAGGTCTCTTAGTAAACATGATAACGTTTATGTCACTGATATGAATTTTAGTGGTTCAAATTTCCAAACTCCAATTAATTTATCATCTGGCATGATCTATATCAAATGTCAGAGTAAAGTTACTGTCCCAGTTCCTAAATTGACTGACTCCTCATACCACGGTCTCTCACCAGAATTTTAGAAAATCAACTGTGAAAGAAGCCTAGAATGAGGATACAGTTACTGTTCGTTTCTGTACCTACCAAGAGATCTTTAGGTCCTAAAGTGGATTTCGTGTAGAATTTTGAGAGTTCCGTGTGGTGAACGAACAATCCTAAACTACGAGGAAACAGATATCCAATGATATTGTCTGGTCTTCAGTGATTCACCAATTTTGAATTTGTAATAAAAACTACGCCTCCAAAATATATGCCAAAACCCTGAAAAATCCGTTAGTCCACACGATTCTCCGATCTAATTATACTATGGTAAAGTATTCCATTTAACAATATGCTTTAAGATGAAAACAAATCAACCAAAAGTCTAGGATTTACAGATCTAAAAGATGTTAATTTTCCAAAAAATATTTATTACAAATAAAAACCTACCCGATAATCTGCTTCAAAAATAGCCACTTGACCAGCTTGAATAATTTCTAATACTGCATCTAAACACAATCCCGTCATACAGTTTTTTGACGTTTCACAAGGATCTATAAGGCTAGATAAGATGTTTTGCAGAAAGAAGAAAGTAATAGACATTGGACTGTAGGTGATTTTCAACAATTTATTCACCCAGAGACATTATTAGTAACATTAATATGTCATGACATATATTTTGGTTGAAAATGTGATTGGAATGGGGGTAAATTATCAATTAACATTGGCACCTGAGGTTTTTAAGGAAATACTTTGAGATTTACTAGCATTTATGCATCGGTCATGTACTTTAAATGGTTTCTGGCAATGGAATCAAAGACCCATATGTCACTCTATTCCGGAACTGTCTCTCAATCCCATCGTTGATATCCACATCAAGATAAGAACCCAGTACCTGTCGTTTCAAAGTCAAATAAATTCAACATTAGGAATACAAGCCCTTGCAAATAATAACAAATAATAAACCCTTTTTACAGATAGATGACTATCAAGACTTTGCAATTTGATTTAATGGGTACCATTTTAAAGGCTCAGTAAGAATGTACACACTTGGATAAAAACAGGTACGCCGAGATTACGACTTTCATGTATCCTCAATTTCATTTAAGGCGTCTATTCAGAAATTTTATAACGAAAGTGCAAAAAATTTGCTTCCAATATTTATTATTATCTTCGAAGTCTCTTAGAAGAGTCCATGACAAGAACAGTTATATATAACATATTCTATGCAATATTTAATCTTGTTACTTTGAGAAAATTCCAAGTTTTCGTAATATTCACAGTATGAAATGAAAGTGACAATTAAATGGGACACAATGGTGAAACTTTAATATTTCCATTCAATCAATTCAATAATTAAAAACAGACGTACATATTAATTGTGTACTGTGTAATTGAGGCTAAAACTATGTGTCCTTTCATTTTTTAATGAATAAATTGTAAGCACAACAGTAAACAATTTACAAATGGTTCATCATCACAAATGAATGTCACCTATAAAGTTATTAAAAACTTAGTTAAAAGTGAAACAGCCACTGATCAGTTACATTTGTTAAACATTACACCTCATATAACTGAAGTTGAGAATGTACATCATTGGATAGAGATTCAGTGACTAATAATTACAACATTCTAGTCATAAAATACAAAAGATTTTGTGTTGAATCCCGGGTTTATATGTTGCTGATTAGTGTTGAATTGCAACAAACTAGAAAGACCTATTTAGCGATCTCTGGTTTTCAGGAACTCTCTAACTAATGTTAATTAATGACAAAAACTTTTTCTCAATTTAATGAAATCTATACAGTTTACTTTATCAAAAAAAGATTTTTTGCCTAATGCAAAGTTTTAAAAACAGCAAACTAACCAATCAGCATCCATGAATGTATTGAATTCGTCTTTAGTTACAAATAAATAATCGACACCATGAACTTCTTCAGATTTTGGTTCTTGTGTGGTTACTTGTGCATTTTTATGTGGAAAAACAAACAATTGATTTAATTCATTGTAGTAGATAATATACATAAAATATAACTCCACATTAATAGATAGAAAATAAACCCAACAAACAAGTACGATTTATTTTATTTTATTTTTTGGTAGAAGCCAATATGCTAAGTGGTTGGTGGCAATCGGAAGGAAGTGCTGGTGGACATGGCTTCCATGTTAGATATCATCCGGATTTGATAAACATGATATTGGTTACCACTCAGTGATCAATCAATAAAAATATTTCAGCTATACAGTAAAATAACCGTAACCTGAATAGCTGTGTTAATGTTCCAAACTTAACATTGGGCGAAACGGGTTTGAGAAGTACATTGAACATCATTTACACCAATATTCCAACTTTCCTTTGATGAAGAGTCCCAATAAATGTCAAGGGCTTACTGTCAATTGCTCCGAACCTCCTAAAATCCAGGCACATTGTACGCAATGTCAAACCACTTAAACTGACTGCCACATTGTAATTTATTCAGTTAAAGTTAATTAGTACCAACAATCAGATAAACGTAACGCTGATTACTGCTCAACAATCGAAAACTGTTAATGAAATTTAATTCAGTAACAAAAAGAAACTTTAGAAGAAAAGCACATCGGATAATAACCTTAACGCTAAAAAAAGTAAGGTAAATCTAATTCTAATACTTCTATATTCAGTACATCTAATATTCACTTGTGTAGTCTACGTAAAACACTTGCTGTTTATCAAGTTCTTTAAGAACTTTCAAATGAATACACCTACATTTCTGTCAATACTAATATTCTTACTGTAAATTAAATTTTATGATTACTATACTATGGTAATGGATTCATTAACATAGAGGATTACCTCAATAATCGTTTCTTGGGAAAATTTCCATTATTATCCTTAAAGTCTCTTTTAAGTAATTTACAAAACTGAAGTGATCAATTTTTCTTATTATAAAGGCATTAAAAGCAATTACAGTTTGGTTGTTCACAAAACCAAGTAGGAATGTAAATACATCCGACTTTCTTCCCTCGATAAAATGAATGTCAAGTATATTTAAAATTCCACTCTATACATCAAAGTTTATCTATACTAACTAAACAATTTTTATGAATATGAAGTTTATGAATTCAGTTATCAATCTACAATATCTTAACAATTAAGTCAGTACTACTGTTTACCGTAGATGAAGTTAGTATGACCTTTGGAATAGAGATCGATTTCTGGTAAAAATGAGCAAATTTACGAATAAGCACTCACTTCTGATTGGTTCTCGAAAATGTTCAGGATCAGTACGAATTAATTGACGAATTAATTCTGACTTTCCTACACCACTTGGTCCTATCATCAAACAGAAGATAATATACGGTTTGCACAATTTATAAATACTCTATTTCAAAAATACTGCTTCACTTCTTAATGAATCGAAAAACATACGAATCAAGCTATATAAAATTTTTATTAAACTTGAAAAGACCTATAAGGAATTTTATCAGATGTTGAGATTTGCTGTTGGGGAGATCTAGAAAACTCGAAAAACCCAAAAAAGGTTACGAAACCATTAAGAAGCATCTTCAGTGAGTTAGTCAGTTACAACGTAAGACTTCGCACGTACATACATCAGTTCGAGTTGCCATACCACATTAACACAGAGATGCAGTTTTCGATTCACATCCCATAGTGGTAAAAGTAGTAGAAGTACAAGCAGTAATCGGAAAGATTAGGGTTTGGAAACGCTATTCAAGGAGTATAATCCAGTAAAATAAATTTGAAAAGGGAAAAACAACAAGGACATGAAGAATCCAGAAGATTAGAATTTTGAAGAACGCAAAAAGCGGACGCATCTGCGCCATTGCAAACGATTTTGAGCCATGTCATTCAAGGTCTCTAACCATCGGTTACTATCGTCTCGCAGATCCCAACCTGGTAGTCTACACCTACCAACATGGCTCAGTCCACTTTTCAGTGACTTCATTGATTTGTGCCACGTTTTGGTCTGGTCACCCCTGGCTTCCTTCCAACCTACTTCTACACCATAAAACATTGCACGTCGGGACAGTCGGTGGTTGGGCATACGTAACACGTGTCCCAGCCATCTCAACTGATGGAGTTTTACTACTTCACCAATTGATTAGCCATCCTAACCTAGTACCTGTTTCCTAACAACTGCATTACTTATTCGGTGGTCCCAGGATGTACGAGCAATGCTTCGAAGACACCTATGACCGAATACTAGCAGCCTACGAATATCCTCTACTCTTATCGGCCATGTTTCATTGCTATGAAGTAGAACTGAAAGAACTGCTGGTCAGTGAATCCGTCATTTGGTTGCTAGACGGATATCTCGCCTATGCCATAAATGACGCAAGTTGGCAAAAGCTAGACGAGACTTCTGTTTCTGTGCTGAGATTTCGTCACACACCAGACCACAAGGGCTGATGAGACTCCCAAGATAAGTGAAACGGTCAACACGCTCAACATCTTCACTCCCTATCATTAGTTCAGGTGTCGATGCAACCCAATCCTGAAGTAACATTTTGCATTTCGAGGGATGGAATCGCATCCCGAACATACCTGCATTGTTGCTTATAGTGGTCAGAAGACTCTGGATTTTATCAGCGTCTTCACTAAATAGAACTATGTCATCGGCATATTCTAAGTCAACAAGTGAATCTCCTGGGAGAAGTTCAACTCCTCTAAATTTGGATGATGAAAGTGTTATTTCTAAAAGCATGTCAACGACAAATTTAAACAAGAATGGAGAGAGTGGACAGCCCTGACGAACACCATTTGAGGTAAACAATTCTGATGACAGTTCGCCATAAGCTCTAACTTGACCAGTTATGTTCGAGTAGAGAGCCTTTATAAGGTCAACGTACTTCTTTGGTACTCTTTTAAGTGACAAACACTGCCATAGAACCTCACGATCAACGGAGTCAAATGCTCTCCCACACTTTAGATTTCCTATAGCTTTTTCAACCTCGTAAAGAGTTGAAGGACTTACATTAACTTGCCATTCAGGTCGACTGAGGATCGAGGGAAACCGAAGTGTAGCTGAATGCCAGTTGAACTGATCCCTAAAGTGTTCTGCCCATCGATCCAATCTCCTAGATTGCGAGTGAATAGTATGTCCATCTTTTACCGAGATAGTCAGGAAGCCTTCTGTAAAACCCATATTTTACACCATCTGAACTGCAGTCAGTGGGAGAGTAGGCAGAGACGACGAAGAGGCAACGACGATTGTCCTTATTTTTCCAAGTCCTTACTGTTCTGTTTAGTCGGACAGCGCACAGACAACTGTCTACTGGGATCCAGTCCAAAAGAGCTAGTTCTGCTCTAGGACTCAATCCTATTTGGCACAATGTTCGGACGTTAAAAGCTCCTCCATGTAGTTTAGAGCGTGGTTTCAGGAGACCAGGAATAACGTTCCGTGTACTCGAATCGTTTACCCTAATGGTGAGAAGTGATTAAGGGACGTGAGAAGGGTTAGTCGGGGAGATAAGAGAGTTATTAGTAGGTGTAGAAAGGATTTGAATGTGACCAACTTGGTCTCGTGTGCTGTTACAAGTATGGGGGCTGAAATAACTTCCCGGCTGCCCACACCATGGAAGGTTATTTCTTGAAGAACCTGAAAAGGAAGTTGGATCAATGTTGGTCTTGACCACCTGGGAGTGTGATCGCAAAGCCCAGGGGACAACTGCTTGAGACCGGTCACGCACAGCCTTTTTGTGGGGGATCTTCGACGTGTTAGCTCCGTTCTTCAAAGCGCCTTTTATTTATTTATTTAAACACATAAATATTGGTACAAGGAAGCACCAGATACATATGCGCCGCACAAATCCACCGGAGATGGAAATTTGTGAGGTAAGGTGAGGCGTGACGTTTTTAGGGTCGACCTTTTCTAACCTTTTCCTTCCTTGTGGGAAGGCAGCATCGCTACAGATGCTGGTTGTCCGAGGGAAATACCTTACTACTGTCACACTACTCTACAGTCAGCAGCACGACTTCGCCCTCAGACCTTGAGTTGCTGCTTTTAGTCTTACCGTTCTCCAATCGACCTGCCTGGCATGGTAGAACCTACAGGAACATATGATTTAGACAATATAGCTCTATTCCGTAGGATTTCACAGAGTACAATTTTTACATATAGCTTCATTTAATAAGTTGTCAATAACGTCCAAAACAAACGGATTTAGAATCATTCAACATCTACACTCGGTTATTTATAGATAAATGTTGAAAGTATCAACCTTTTTAAACATTTCATATAGACCTTTATCAAGCAAGATGGATTATATGTTGTAGGTTTCACTCTCAATATGGTACTATGTACTGTCATGTATTTTTCTATCATCAGTGAACGACTGTTGTTATGTGAAAAGGAAACACAACAAGGGTTAAATTCATAATTGTGTCCAGTACTATGACACCGGATAACATGGATTCGAGTGTCGTTGGTGTAGGGGCGGCAATTCCCTCAATCTTATAGATGTACCTTATTGAAAAGTGCTAGCTAACATGGGACCTCTATTCAATACTTCCTATCTGCAATCACCTAGTATTAATCACTTCATTTGCTTAATGCATAATGATTACTTCCTTACATAAAATGTAAAAGAGACACTAAATCGATAAAAATAAGAGGTACTAATCATGAAACTTACCTACTAAAACAATTGGTCGATAACAACCTTCTTCAGGAAAATAACGTTCTACTTCTTCATATGAAAGAGAATCTTACACATCCAAGCGGAAAGAAATTTGAAATAATAAATTTTCAAATAAGTCACTCAAGAAAGTACTATTACTGAACCAAGAAACTTTGATAAGATTAAAGTTATAATGAAATTAATAGAATGTTTGTGTATGTCTGCCAAATAAACATTGAACTAAACTGGTCAAAATTATGTCGTGATAAAATCCTGAATTCCAGTGTTGGCATTACCCAGTTAAATTTTGATAATAATAATAATAATATGCACTAAATATATATGCTCTTTTAATGATAATTGTCTTATTATTTCTCAGCTGTTTTAATTGATGTAATTCATCTTTAGTTAGATTGGAAATGTGTGGTTTTTGATGTAATGAAGTGTCTGTAATTTTATTCTTCACGTCATTCGCTGTTTCATTAGTAAGGCAATTCAATCTCGGTTCAATTCCAGGCACAGTCCAAGCTCAGATTCACTAACTCCATGTCCAGAAGCTGGTCTGGCATTTTTAAAAGGTGAAATTCTGCGTATAGTCAATTCAGAAGATCCTAATTGGTGGCAAGCTGTAAAAGTATGTAATTCTAAGAAATTACAGTTTTGATGATAATGAATTAATTATTAAATAAACCTAACAGGTTGACATTAATTGAGAAACCATTGGAAACTACAGAGTACGAGATAGCTGTTTAGCCTATGCATCAGAGTCCTCTGTCGCGCTAACCTATGACTCCATCAGGAGTTAAACCCTGAAACTTTAAGTCCCGAAAGAGGAAGTTTAGTGTTGAAAGTTGAGGTAGAAGGAATAGTAAGGAGTGAAGAAAGAGATTGATTAGGAATATAGTGGTCTTGAGTGCTGTTAGAGATATGAGGGCAGTTATCACTTCCCGGTTGCCCACACCGTGGAAGGGTTCTTCTAGAGGTACCTGAAGAGGAAATTGGGTTTGAAGTGGTCTTAATGACCTGAGAGCGTGACCGCAGTGCCAAAGGGACAACTGATTGAGGTCGGTCACACACGACCTTTTTGTGGGTAGGTTTTGTGTTAGCTCCGTAATTGTTGGGACTATACCGCCGGAGACGGATATCCTTGGGATAAGACGAGGTGTGCAGTTTTAAGGTCAACCTTTTCTAACTTCACCCCTCCTTGTGGGAAGGCAGCATCACTGCAAAATCGTGACCTATTTATAATGAAATTAAGACCCTTTTTGGAAAAAGACATTTCGTGGGTACTTAGATCTCTATCTGATAAATTAATGATCAATTTGTTAATATCCAATGTGCTAAGTTCGTCTCCAGTCTGTTGAACTTTTTGGTTTGGTGAATGCTTCAACATTTTTTCAAACTTTCTAACCTGTCTCTGTTTTGATGATTGATGGTAAAACTGTTCTGTGTTTAAACTATTTATTTATATTTGGTCCTATTTCCTTTGGTATGACAATGGATTAAACGTCATCGACGTTACTAATCCTTGGACGTAGTAACCCTAAACTCACAGTGGCTCTGTGTATACGTTCACTAAGAGATGTTCTAGTAGCTGTGATGGCCCCTTTGATAAAACGAACAGATTTGTCATGAGAAATAACCAACTGAGATTTGGGATAAATATTTTGTTTTAAGCATCGCACATCAAAAATTCTATGATCGTACCAGTTGTGTATTTTATTTGATAATCTAATTCAATTGCAAAATAATTTATACAAATATCTATCGACATTTGAACAAATAGCTTGACAGAATTTGGGTGCTGAGTATTATTTAAATTAAGGTAATTCCAAACAAACATAAGAGTTTATTTTCGTCCCAGTGATATCATAAAATCAACGTTATTAAAAGTTAAGGGTAGGTTTCCAAGAGAGGAATAACAGAATGTTGTCTATGAGATCAATTTTTTTTATTCCAATGCAGCTTATGTGGGAGAAACATCTAGACAGTTAAGTATGGGGTTGAAGGAACACAAACAATGTTTGAAACATTTCCCCGAATCCTCGGTTGATCTGAAGAAACTTGAGAATAGGTTCAGGATAGCGTAACATGTGTTAGAAACAGGATACAATACCAACTTCGAAAAGACCAAAATACTTCAGAAAGCGTTTGGCACACATAGAGAAAGATTGACAGCAGTAGCGTTGCATGTATGGGCTAATAACAGTTTGAACAGAAAAGATGATATTCAACTAACCACCCCTTGGCAAATGATCTTTAACGAGTAGTTGGGCCATATCTCTATCCAACCTGTTCATTTCATATACATTGTTATTCTGAGAGGAATTAATTTGAATATTTTATTATCACAATTATGTATTTGATGGTTCTCGTTTTAAATACATATCAACGTCTCAAAGACATTTCCAATTTGTACTTCATTTTTACTCCTAATTAAAAGCTAACAATTATTATCAGATATTAAGATGGTTGTGTGATATCGTGCGCTGATTGAAGTTAGACATTAACACCGTTGGACCCCGGTCCAGTTGTCTAGAAGTTAAGCGTTTGCGCATGAGGGCGTAGGTCATGAGCTCGACTCCCACGTGCGGATTCGTGAATGCGCACTATTCATGAGTCCAATACTAGGGTGAAAAGGCCGTCCAGTGCTTCAGAATACTCAATGATGGTTTAACACTGATTGGTTCATAATCTCAATAAAAACCCAACAATCACCACAACCAAATACTGATATCAATAATTTAAACTTACAAATATACACACAATCACTCATTTGTTTTCACATTATTAACTCTTCACATGATTCACATATAACTGTGATGTGTGGGCAAGAATGATAATGACTGGTTGTCTTGATGAGTCCGACAGGTGTTATGTGTTACATATATTCCCCTATCCTTATTATGTATTAACTGTACCTTATTGATTGACTGTTCATTGTGTCGGATTTTGTTGTGGAAATATATTGACGTTGTAGTCAGGCTAATCTCGTGTTCTTCATCTGAGTTGTGTTGAGGTCCTGTAGAATAGACACTGGGTGGGAATCTAGTGTAGACATTCGTCTAAGGCAAATTAGCGTCCCACGTACGTGTAAAAGTGAAAGGACTGTTATAACCAGAACCCCTAGAGTAGTAACAAGCATCCTCTACGTTTATAACAATTGGCGACGGTGATTAAAATGGATCTACGCTTACATATTCAATTAAAGTGAATTTTGTAACAAAATGGATGATCTGAAAACCTTGTTGCAACAGCAAAATTCTTTAATCGAATTATTAATAAAAAAATATGTCAATATCCTCAAGAACAAATGTGTCTAATTCCACTATGACTTCGGATTCTATTGCAAATTCAATAACTGAATTTAGATTTGATCCAGAAAGTGGAGTTACTTTTGAGGCGTAGTTTAAACGCCATGAGGATTTGTTTAATAATGACTGTAAAGAGTGGGACGAAAGCTCAAAATTGAGATTATTATTAAGAAAGCTCGGAGTGTCCGAACATGAAAAATTCTGTAATTTTATCCTCCAAAAGAAGCCATCCGACATAACGTTCAAAGAAACAGTTGAATGCCTGACTCGTATATTTGGAGAACGGTCATCAATTTTTCACACTAGATACCAGTGTCTTCAACTTGTAAAGAAACTACAGGACGACTATGTAACGTATGCAAGTATCGTGAACCGGGGATGTGAGCGGTTCCGATTACAAGAAATGTCCTCAGATCAATTCAAGCGCCTTATTTTTGTATGTGGATTACAATCTTCAGTAGATGCAGATATTAGAACACGGATTCTGGCGAGAATCGAACAAGATCCTAATATCAGTCTACAATCAGTATCCGAAGATTGTCAAAGAATGGTTAATTTGAAGCATGACACGAATCTCGTAGAAAGGAACAGTGAACACGTGGGGATTAATACTTTACGTAAATCTTTTGATGGAAATAAAGATTCGAACTCCCAGAAAATCCCAAATCGAGTGAAACATAAAACGTCATGCTGGAGATGTGGTAAGTGTCATTCTGCCAAAGTTTGCTACTTTAAAAAACGAGTATGCTTTCAATGTGGTAAATATGGTCATGCTCAAGTATGTTGTAAAAGTAGGCCGAAAAATGCTGACCGTGGGCATAAGTTCCGTAAACGAAATAAGATGCAGACTTCAAAAGTAATGCCGTATAACTCAAATGTTGTTCTGGCCACAAAAAGTGACTAATTCTTATCCAAAAGGAAGTACGTAACCATCTTTTTTAATGATAAACCGGTCAAACTGCAAGTCGATACTGGGTCTGACATAACGTTAATTTCTAAAGAAACTTGGATTAAAATTGGTCGACCCCGATATCAACCTACATGTTATAATGCCAAGAGTGCATCAGGTACTAATATTACTCTTCTTGGAGTAATACAGCTACCTCTCACACTAGGTGAAAAGACTATAACCGGGAAATGTTATGTATCTGGGATCTGTCATACCGACCTATTGGGTATTGATTAGATTGATAAATTTGGTTTGTGTGATTTACCGTTGAATGTACCGAAAGCAGAATCTCAGCCATGGCCAGAAACGAAAAAGCCTTGGGTCCGACTACACGTTGATTATGCTGGACCAATAGGTGGACAATATTTTTGGTGGTGGTTGATTCATACTCAAAATGGCCTGAAATTTATGTGGTACGAAGACCATCTACGTCTGAAACACTGCTACATCTGAGACAACTAATTGGTAGGTTTGGTACACCTAATGTTTTGGTTTCAGATAACGGAACGCAGTTCACGTCGTTAGAGTTTACGGAGTTCTGTAAACAGAATGGAATCGAACACGTTAGAACTCCACCGTATCACCCTCAGCTAAACGGGCAAGAAGAGAAATTTGTTGATATACTTAAGCGAGCTCTCTCAAAGATGGGAGGAGAAGACAACGTAGAAGAGGCTCTGCAACAATTTCTCATTTCTTATAGAGTTACACCGAGTCCAAACTGTCAAGACGGGAAATCACCAGCCGAAATTATGTTTGGCCGACCGATTAGAACATTTCTTGATGTTTTGAACCTGAAAGACAGAATGAGTGGTCTACAAAAACATAAGAAAGGGAATTGCCCGAAAATTCGAGAATTCAAAGTAGGTGACTCAGTCTATGCACGGGATTTCCGGCCTGGCAAGCCAAAATGGATATTTGGGTTTATAAAAAACGACGTGGTACAGTATTGTATGAAGTGATGGTCGAAAATACACTAATTATTAGACATGTAAATCAACTGCGAGATAGAAAATGTGTTTATGAGTCATCTAAACTCAAACCATTACCAATGGAAGTATTATGTGATACATTTGATATTCCTCCACCACCACCACCACAAGTTGAAATGAGAAAAAATGATCTGAAATCAGAAGTAAACGAAGGTCATCCAGAGAACGGAAACAAACGAAATTTTTTCAAGTAGACTCCAAAGTGAAATCATACGACCAAACTTCGCGAGGGAGGTGATGTGTGGGCGAGGATGATAACGATTGGTTGTCTTGATGAGTCAACATTAAATAGGATGACAGGTGTTATGTGTTATATATATTCCCCTATCCTTATTATGTATTAACTGTTCCTTGTTGTTGGACACTTATTGATGGACTGTTATTGATTGACTGTTCCTTGTATCGGATTTTGGTGTGGAAATATATTGACGTTGTAGTCAGGCTAATCTCGTGTTCTTGATCTGAGTTGTGTTGAAGTCCTGTAGAATAGACACTGGGTGGTAATCTAGTGTAGACATTCGTCTAAGGTAAATTAGCGTCCCACATACGTGTGAGAAGTGAAAGGACTGTTAAAACCAGAACCCCTAGAGTTATAACAAGCATCCTTAAGTTTATAGCAAACTGAGGCGAGACTAAAGAACTTGGACGACCTTTGAACGAATCGTAAATGACCTTGAGAAATATTAGCCAATCAGAAGACAGCATACAGTAAAAATATATTATATAAAACTAAAAAATTAAAAGGGATACTGTTCTTTTACATGAATCAAAAACTTATCAAGGTCAGATATAGATTCAGAAGTTCTAAAATCATAGTGCATCTGATACAGGAACTCATGCCTGTGGCTCCATAATAGTCGACCTCTGGAACCATGATAAAGTGTCGAAAATTCTTTCAGCCTCGACCACATAGTTTCAGTGTTTTCGGTATGTTGGTATGGTTTAGGATTTAATATTAGGGTTAAGGTTTAGGGTTAAAGATGAGACTATGAATTATGGACGACATTTGAGCGACGCTATAGTGAATCTGAGAGTGTCAACGTAATAACTAAGACTAAATGAGGGTTATAAACACGTGTGAAGAATTCAAATTATGATTTACAGTTCATGGTTAAGGTTAGGAATTATACTTAGGGTTTTCATCACGAACTGACATCAGCTATAATGCCACAACTCTATCCAAATGTATAATTGAATTTCGCGCCAAAATCTTATGATAACTTATTTTGTAGACGCTTAATTATCATGTTTTCTCTAAAATCCGTTGTAAACCGACCGCACGTAAGCGTCAGGTACCGAACTTAGCGCCGTGACCTTGAAAACCTGCGAAAGCTTCTGATTGGCTCGTCCATGTTCTTTAGTCTCGCCCAAACTGACTCAAGTTATCCCACTTACTACAGTCAACATCTGAATATGATTGGACAAGCACAGCATAGATTTGATACGATTGTTAAATACTATATATTCTTTGATGATTTCTAGTTTGTTTAGTACCCTGAAGAAGTCCAGAAAAGATTACTGAACGAACCGTTGGAATAATTTGAATTTCTATATCCGAGATTATTTCAAATATAATTTCCATAAATAATATCTTCTCTATACTCGGTGCCCAAATTCTATCAAAATATTCGTTCAAATATTGACGAATATTCGTATAAATGTGTGCATCTTTGTCCATTTGTGACATAATCAAATCATATCTGTATTGAATACTTAATTGAATGAAATTTGTAAGAGTAGCAACTAACTTAAATCGTGATGTAAATTTAATTTTAATTTTACTTTTAATGATAATTTGAATCAACTTACCATTAATTTGTGTATCTTGTCCGCCGTTTGTATGCAATGAATTAAAGTGATACTGCATTTTCCTGTTGAAAAGAAAAAGCACCAATATATTTTTCATTTTGTAGTATGTTTCGTTAATTAATTATTTATCAATTAGATAAAAGTTAAAAGTCATCATCAAAATTCAGGCGACATCTAAGTTGTGTCACAACTAACTAAGTTGGCTGAACTCAACACTTGGGTCACCAATTTTCCAACTGTGTGAATACTCCACTACCTTGTTTTGTGGTTCTTTCAAGTGATTATTTAGAAATGTTAACTTTGTATGCACATGCATGCTAATGTCAAAATAAGTTATCAATTGTTATGATGTTGAATACTGCAGTTGTAATATTTTCCTCTTCGTCTGTTCTTTAGAATAACTTGAGACGAATACACAGAAATTCAAGAATTTTAAATTATGATGGATGGAAAAAGTAGTTGTAGTGAATAAACCAGTTAGAAATTTCAAAACTGAAGATGAGTAACAGATACCGGCTATCGAAAAACTTATGAAGTATATTTTTGAAGAACTAAACTTTGGATGAATTTTAGAAAGAAAGCTATAGCATTGTTTCACAATCGTTTCTGAGAATTTTTTACTGTAACAAGGTTTTGTAGCGTTGAACTGACATGTCATTATTACAATTCATTCTCGATTTTTTTCAATTTTTTTATCTTAATTAACAGAAATCATTAGAACGTAGATCACTCAATGAACAGTTTTATCTTATCGTTCAGTCAGTTTCGATTTCTCCCTCAGATATCATAAGACCTCATACATAAAAATATCAGCCAATTAGTGCTATTATAGCAACCATCCTACAATCAATTTCGATTATAGCCAATTTTGGTTAAGCCCTTTTTTATAACTTACTTAACAGACATCGTCATTAGGATAGTAAAAATTTGCATATTCTTTGCACAGCTATACCACTAGAGCACATGACACTCTAGCCGAAATGTTGACTGCTTAAATATCATTCGATGACTCATACTCCTCCCATATATGTACGCACGAAAATATTATTATCAGCCTTTGTTTTGCTTTGTTGTGCCCTTATTAAATTTGACTATAAATTGCCCATGTAGTTGCTTGCTATTTGCTCGCTTGCTCCTCGTTCGTTTCCTTCGCTTGTTTGCTTGTTCACTCGCTCTCTCGCTTGCCGCTCACTCGCTCGTTCATATTCGCTCAGGTGTTGTTAGCTTTCGAACCTGAGTCATTCGACAATAAACTGTAGTTGCTGCTATCCTTTGTCTTCTGATTTTACGCACCGTTAAGATTAGAATCATAACGGTTATCGAAGTAAACGATTAACGAATCACGGCACTACACTATATGTATGAAATCTAACTGCTGAGGGTTCTTACAAGTTGTAAGTAACAATGGGATTTTAAAAAACTCTACACTGCTCAATTTTTAATATTTAACAGTTATTTTCCATACATACTCCCCAAATTATTCTCAACTGATTATCTGAAGATAAATCTTTAGAAAGCATGTTCAAACCTAATTTTAAGTTGAGCGAGTTTTCTAACGGAAGCTTCTTTAATGACAATAGTGAGAAGTGATAGGTTTAAAAATATACATGAACAAATGTTCACTCCAAATATTTATCCCCCTTAGGTTACTGTCATAATGAATTCTGCAAAATACATTCACGTAAAATTAAAGAAGCATTAAAAAATACTGGAATAAGGGACAGAATCAATTTGCGTTCATGTATCCACGATTCTTTTCAATTATCTGAATAGCGAGATATTGGTTTCCATTGATTCGATCCACAAACAGCTTAATCAAAATGGCGCCCACTCATATCCCAACCGATGATCTTGATAGTGTTGAACGTTTCCTCAATCAAATTAGGTTACATCTTTTCACTGATGTTAAATGACTGGAAGGACTCAACAGAAAACCTTAGGTGCAGGTTTGGTGATAGTTGACAGTTGTCAGCAAGGGCAACGTAGCCACAATTGTATAAGAACTAATGCTTTCTATGGGATTCGAACCCATGTTGCTTAGGTCCACAGTCATGGACGTCACCTCTGAGATATTCGAGCCTGGACTGTCCTGTAGGACTGAGATATCCACAGTGATTGATCAATCAGCAATATTCGATATAATTTTTGTTATATCGTAGTGAAGACGTAAGTACTTCCAGGACCTATTAATGGACTATTATTCTATGTATATTCTTATTGTTTAACTATTGAGTAACTAGATTGTGTTAATTTATATTCATCTTTCTATAAGCTTCATTTTGACCTATGGATTATTATTACACGATTTACTGTCCCTAAATTATATTCAGTTTCTTGATTAATGTCTCCCACGTTCACAGCCACATTTCGTTTGATCCTGTACAAATATTACTTTCTATTTTATGGTGTAATGCGGTCTATCTGTCTGGTATATAAACCGAGTATGCTTGAAACAAATGATTTGCATAGCGGGAGCTACAATTGGTGTTTCTGGACTCAAATGGAAGGGCTAGGCGGGAAGGGGACCAATAAGGATACTAGACTGCTCATACCAGTTGAATTTCATTGATTTGGCACAGTATTAAGATTAGATAAGTCGTATTCCGATTGGTGAATAATTCACGTGATAAAAAGCCGGGCATAAAATAACGAATTGGCATACGGCCTATATTTTTTATAAAGTCATAACAATTGTCAATCAGTCCTTAGTTCTAGCTTACTCAGACCGACTAAGTAATCATACTACAAATTCTGTGATATTTTAGTCCATAGTTTGACCACTATAGTAAAATTCGGAAAGATATTATATGCTATTTTGGAATTTAATTTGATTATTTCCTATTCTTCATTAAGTTAATTTCTATAGAATGAAACTTGATGTTTAGTGTTAATATAGACAAATAGAAACAAAAAAGCGATTACAAATTGGTTAGTTTGACAAGTAATGAAAAGTAAAATACAGCATTTATTGTGAACCAGGCAATTTGAAAATCTGTTCTTAATGCGTTGTTCTTTTCTCGACTTACCATTCTCGCATCATTTTACTTGGTATTAGACCAGCTCTACTTAAACTTGGTTGCGTTAAGTTATTACCCAGTACAAATGGAACAATCCCAGTAAGTGGAAATTCAACCTATTCGAAAAAGATAATAATAAATGTGTTATTCTTTAGTAAGGGTTTCCAGTTAATCACATTTTGGATAACCACCTTATATAGTAATTACTCCAATTTAACTATATTTAAATAAACTTTTATCAAATTATTGTCAAATTTGTTGTTAGATACCATATCTATGACCCACTTCACTAGTATACAGTCTTCAGTGATGAATAAACTCTAAAATTAATGTTTAGAAAACAGAATAAATGCAAACGGGCTACTGCCATCAATCCCTTAGTCATGTCATCCTGTTATAACAGAAACCTCTAGCGTTATGACAAGTATCCTCTACGTTTATAACAATTGGCGACGGTGATTAAAATGGATCTACGCTTACATATTCAATTAAAGTGAATTTTGTAACAAAATGGATGATCTGAAAACCTTGTTGCAACAGCAAAATTCTTTAATCGAATTATTAATAAAAAAATATGTCAATATCCTCAAGAACAAATGTGTCTAATTCCACTATGACTTCGGATTCTATTGCAAATTCAATAACTGAATTTAGATTTGATCCAGAAAGTGGAGTTACTTTTGAGGCGTAGTTTAAACGCCATGAGGATTTGTTTAATAATGACTGTAAAGAGTGGGACGAAAGCTCAAAATTGAGATTATTATTAAGAAAGCTCGGAGTGTCCGAACATGAAAAATTCTGTAATTTTATCCTCCAAAAGAAGCCATCCGACATAACGTTCAAAGAAACAGTTGAATGCCTGACTCGTATATTTGGAGAACGGTCATCAATTTTTCACACTAGATACCAGTGTCTTCAACTTGTAAAGAAACTACAGGACGACTATGTAACGTATGCAAGTATCGTGAACCGGGGATGTGAGCGGTTCCGATTACAAGAAATGTCCTCAGATCAATTCAAGCGCCTTATTTTTGTATGTGGATTACAATCTTCAGTAGATGCAGATATTAGAACACGGATTCTGGCGAGAATCGAACAAGATCCTAATATCAGTCTACAATCAGTATCCGAAGATTGTCAAAGAATGGTTAATTTGAAGCATGACACGAATCTCGTAGAAAGGAACAGTGAACACGTGGGGATTAATACTTTACGTAAATCTTTTGATGGAAATAAAGATTCGAACTCCCAGAAAATCCCAAATCGAGTGAAACATAAAACGTCATGCTGGAGATGTGGTAAGTGTCATTCTGCCAAAGTTTGCTACTTTAAAAAACGAGTATGCTTTCAATGTGGTAAATATGGTCATGCTCAAGTATGTTGTAAAAGTAGGCCGAAAAATGCTGACCGTGGGCATAAGTTCCGTAAACGAAATAAGATGCAGACTTCAAAAGTAATGCCGTATAACTCAAATGTTGTTCTGGCCACAAAAAGTGACTAATTCTTATCCAAAAGGAAGTACGTAACCATCTTTTTTAATGATAAACCGGTCAAACTGCAAGTCGATACTGGGTCTGACATAACGTTAATTTCTAAAGAAACTTGGATTAAAATTGGTCGACCCCGATATCAACCTACATGTTATAATGCCAAGAGTGCATCAGGTACTAATATTACTCTTCTTGGAGTAATACAGCTACCTCTCACACTAGGTGAAAAGACTATAACCGGGAAATGTTATGTATCTGGGATCTGTCATACCGACCTATTGGGTATTGATTAGATTGATAAATTTGGTTTGTGTGATTTACCGTTGAATGTACCGAAAGCAGAATCTCAGCCATGGCCAGAAACGAAAAAGCCTTGGGTCCGACTACACGTTGATTATGCTGGACCAATAAGTGGACAATATTTTTGGTGGTGGTTGATTCATACTCAAAATGGCCTGAAATTTATGTGGTACGAAGACCATCTACGTCTGAAACACTGCTACATCTGAGACAACTAATTGTTAGGTTTGGTACACCTAATGTTTTGGTTTCAGATAACGGAACGCAGTTCACGTCGTTAGAGTTTACGGAGTTCTGTAAACAGAATGGAATCGAACACGTTAGAACTCCACCGTATCACCCTCAGCTAAACGGGCAAGAAGAGAAATTTGTTGATATACTTAAGCGAGCTCTCTCAAAGATGGGAGGAGAAGACAACGTAGAAGAGGCTCTGCAACAATTTCTCATTTCTTATAGAGTTACACCGAGTCCAAACTGTCAAGACGGGAAATCACCAGCCGAAATTATGTTTGGCCGACCGATTAGAACATTTCTTGATGTTTTGAACCTGAAAGACAGAATGAGTGGTCTACAAAAACATAAGAAAGGGAATTGCCCGAAAATTCGAGAATTCAAAGTAGGTGACTCAGTCTATGCACGGGATTTCCGGCCTGGCAAGCCAAAATGGATATTTGGGTTTATAAAAAACGACGTGGTACAGTATTGTATGAAGTGATGGTCGAAAATACACTAATTATTAGACATGTAAATCAACTGCGAGATAGAAAATGTGTTTATGAGTCATCTAAACTCAAACCATTACCAATGGAAGTATTATGTGATACATTTGATATTCCTCCACCACCACCACCACAAGTTGAAATGAGAAAAAATGATCTGAAATCAGAAGTAAACGAAGGTCATCCAGAGAACGGAAACAAACGAAATTTTTTCAAGTAGACTCCAAAGTGAAATCATACGACCAAACTTCGCGAGGGAGGTGATGTGTGGGCGAGGATGATAACGATTGGTTGTCTTGATGAGTCAACATTAAATAGGATGACAGGTGTTATGTGTTATATATATTCCCCTATCCTTATTATGTATTAACTGTTCCTTGTTGTTGGACACTTATTGATGGACTGTTATTGATTGACTGTTCCTTGTATCGGATTTTGGTGTGGAAATATATTGACGTTGTAGTCAGGCTAATCTCGTGTTCTTGATCTGAGTTGTGTTGAAGTCCTGTAGAATAGACACTGGGTGGTAATCTAGTGTAGACATTCGTCTAAGGTAAATTAGCGTCCCACATACGTGTGAGAAGTGAAAGGACTGTTATAACCAGAACCCCTAGAGTTATAATCAGCATCCCTATTTGTTTATAACACATCCAAGGTCGATAACCATAAATTATGATTATCATCCAAGACCTAAATCTGAGTTGTGCAATCCCCCCATACTCCTTAACTCAATAGTAAATGAACTTAAAAAGATATAATCCCAACCATTTTTTATTATATTGGTTCTAATCGAAGCACAATGGATTGAAGAAACATGGGGAAAAATTGATTTTTGTTATAAAAAAAAAGCGAATCTCAGTTATCAATCGGGTTTGGAAGCTTATTTGGTAGCAGAAATAACCATTAATATAAGGAAACTGGAATCTGTTAGAACTACTATTATAAAACTATTGACTAACTATATAAGAACTCTCGTCTAAATTAGAGCGAATAGTTTCACAATATTTGAGCGCCGAGTTGATGTAAGACATTAAATAGGAATAATATATTTGTAAAATCTCAGCGAATGAATTTGTAGTAAATCCTTTTGGCTGTTTCGGGTTTCAACTTATTCAAAGTTGCTCTACATTTGTTAATCTTGATTTTTTCATAAGGTCCAGATTGGAGATGTTCATTGACTTTTTTCTCATAATCAGAATTATTCATAACAACAGTGGTGTTTCCCTTGTCAGCTCTCATAATAACAATTTTTCTGTCTTTACGTAGCTGTTTTAGAGCAATCATTTCTTCTTTACATAGATTAAGTGTATTTGGTTTTTGTTTCAATAACGCATTTGAGATTTTAAATCTCACTGAATTCGCTTGATCAATCGGAACATTGTTTAAGGCAGGTTCAATAACTGGAATAATTTCGGAAGCCATAAGTTGTGTTTTGCTCAAATTGAAACTGAGGCCTTTTTAAGCAATGATAGTTCGTGTTGATTTAAATGTTTGTCAGATAGATCCACAACAATTTTGTTTATATCTAGTTCTTTGGCATTGTATCTAATCGTGTCATTATTGGAATTTGATGGATGTTTAAACATTTGTTCGAATTTCCTTATTTGACGTTTTTTTGTAATTTGATCATAAAAGTTTTCTTTATGTTTAAAAAATTCAACAACATTTTTTTAATTTCTGGTGGTATAATTAATGATAAAACATTATCAATGTTTGCAATACGTGAACGTAGAGATTCCAAATTTCTAGTGGATTTATGAATACGTTCTCTAAGAAATACTCTAGTAGCTGTAATAGCTGCTTTTTGTGATCGTGGTGAATCGTCTGGAGTCTTGACTCGTAACGTTCTTGGATAAACATGATGGTTTAAACAGCGTAGATTGAAAATTCGGTGGTTATACCAATTGTATATTTTCTTCGATAATTTTATGCGATTGCAGAATAATATATAAGAACTCTCGTCTAAATTAGAGCGAATAGTTTCACAGTATTTGAGCGCCGAGTTGATGTAAGACATTATATAGGAATAATATATTGACTAACTGTTGTAGATAAAAGAGAACCAACCTACTTGATGATCATTGTTATCAATAAATAGTTATAGGAATTGTTAAACATAACTAAGATCACTAACCGACAGAAGTAAGATAATCATTCAAGACTAGGAAGCGCTGCATGACAGTTTCTTTACAGTATGGGACTCATCACCCGACCTTAGCTGCTACCTTGACGAGGTGGTCGGGCTTGCCTATCGTGATGACCCAACCGAGCTATATTGTCTGGAACATATGTTCCTGTAGGTTCTACCATGCCAGGCAGGTCGATTGGAGAACGGTAAGACTAAAAGCAGCAACTCAAGGTCTGAGGGCGAAGTCGTGCTGCTGACTGTAGAGTAGTGTGACAGTAGTAAGGTATTTCCCTCGGACAACCAGCATCTGTAGCGATGCTGCCTTCCCACAAGGAAGGAAAAGGTTAGAAAAGGTCGACCCTAAAAACGTCACGCCTCACCTTACCTCACAAATTTCCATCTCCGGTGGATTTGTGCGGCGCATATGTATCTGGTGCTTCCTTGTACCAATATTTATGTGTTTAAATAAATAAATAAAAGGCGCTTTGAAGAACGGAGCTAACACGTCGAAGATCCCCCACAAAAAGGCTGTGCGTGACCGGTCTCAAGCAGTTGTCCCCTGGGCTTTGCGATCACACTCCCAGGTGGTCAAGACCAACATTGATCCAACTTCCTTTTCAGGTTCTTCAAGAAATAACCTTCCATGGTGTGGGCAGCCGGGAAGTTATTTCAGCCCCCATACTTGTAACAGCACACGAGACCAAGTTGGTCACATTCAAATCCTTTCTACACCTACTAATAACTCTCTTATCTCCCCGACTAACCCTTCTCACGTCCCTTAATCACTTCTCACCATTAGGGTAAACGATTCGAGTACACGGAACGTTATTCCTGGTCTCCTGAAACCACGCTCTAAACTACATGGAGGAGCTTTTAACGTCCGAACATTGTGACAAATAGGACACTCCGAGCTTTCTTAATAATAATCTCAATTTTGAGCTTTCGTCCCACTCTTTACAGTCATTATTAAACAAATCCTCATGGCGTTTAAACTACGCCTCAAAAGTAACTCCACTTTCTGGATCAAATCTAAATTCAGTTATTGAATTTGCAATAGAATCCGAAGTCATAGTGGAATTAGACACATTTGTTCTTGAGGATATTGACATATTTTTTTATTAATAATTCGATTAAAGAATTTTGCTGTTGCAACAAGGTTTTCAGATCATCCATTTTGTTACAAAATTCACTTTAATTGAATATGTAAGCGTAGATCCATTTTAATCACCGTCGCCAATTGTTATAAACGTAGAGGATGCTTGTTACTACTCTAGGGGTTCTGGTTATAACAGTCCTTTCACTTTTACACGTACGTGGGACGCTAATTTGCCTTAGACGAATGTCTACACTAGATTCCCACCCAGTGTCTATTCTACAGGACCTCAACACAACTCAGATGAAGAACACGAGATTAGCCTGACTACAACGTCAATATATTTCCACAACAAAATCCGACACAATGAACAGTCAATCAATAAGGTACAGTTAATACATAATAAGGATAGGGGAATATATGTAACACATAACACCTGTCGGACTCATCAAGACAACCAGTCATTATCATTCTTGCCCACACATCACAGTTATATGTGAATCATGTGAAGAGTTAATAATGTGAAAACAAATGAGTGATTGTGTGTATATTTGTAAGTTTAAATTATTGATATCAGTATTTGGTTGTGGTGATTGTTGGGTTTTTATTGAGATTATGAACCAATCAGTGTTAAACCATCATTGAGTATTCTGAAGCACTGGACGGCCTTTTCACCCTAGTATTGGACTCATGAATAGTGCGCATTCACGAATCCGCACGTGGGAGTCGAGCTCATGACCTACGCCCTCATGCGCAAACGCTTAACTTCTAGACAACTGGACCGGGGTCCAACGGTGTTAATGTCTAACTTCAATCAGCGCACGATATCACACAACCATCTTAATATCTGATAATAATTGTTAGCTTTTAATTAGGAGTAAAAATGAAGTACAAATTGGAAATGTCTTTGAGACGTTGATATGTATTTAAAACGAGAACCATCAAATACATAATTGTGATAATAAAATATTCAAATTAATTCCTCTCAGAATAACAATGTATATGAAATGAACAGGTTGGATAGAGATATGGCCCAACTACTCGTTAAAGATCATTTGCCAAGGGGTGGTTAGTTGAATATCATCTTTTCTGTTCAAACTGTTATTAGCCCATACATGCAACGCTACTGCTGTCAATCTTTCTCTATGTGTGCCAAACGCTTTCTGAAGTATTTTGGTCTTTTCGAAGTTGGTATTGTATCCTGTTTCTAACACATGTTACGCTATCCTGAACCTATTCTCAAGTTTCTTCAGATCAACCGAGGATTCGGGGAAATGTTTCAAACATTGTTTGTGTTCCTTCAACCCCATACTTAACTGTCTAGATGTTTCTCCCACATAAGCTGCATTGGAATAAAAAAAATTGATCTCATAGACAACATTCTGTTATTCCTCTCTTGGAAACCTACCCTTAACTTTTAATAACGTTGATTTTATGATATCACTGGGACGAAAATAAACTCTTATGTTTGTTTGGAATTACCTTAATTTAAATAATACTCAGCACCCAAATTCTGTCAAGCTATTTGTTCAAATGTCGATAGATATTTGTATAAATTATTTTGCAATTGAATTAGATTATCAAATAAAATACACAACTGGTACGATCATAGAATTTTTGATGTGCGATGCTTAAAACAAAATATTTATCCCAAATCTCAGTTGGTTATTTCTCATGACAAATCTGTTCGTTTTATCAAAGGGGCCATCACAGCTACTAGAACATCTCTTAGTGAACGTATACACAGAGCCACTGTGAGTTTAGGGTTACTACGTCCAAGGATTAGTAACGTCGATGACGTTTAATCCATTGTCATACCAAAGGAAATAGGACCAAATATAAATAAATAGTTTAAACACAGAACAGTTTTACCATCAATCATCAAAACAGAGACAGGTTAGAAAGTTTGAAAAAATGTTGAAGCATTCACCAAACCAAAAAGTTCAACAGACTGGAGACGAACTTAGCACATTGGATATTAACAAATTGATCATTAATTTATCAGATAGAGATCTAAGTACCCACGAAATGTCTTTTTCCAAAAAGGGTCTTAATTTCATTATAAATAGGTCACGATTTTGCAGTGATGCTGCCTTCCCACAAGGAGGGGTGAAGTTAGAAAAGGTTGACCTTAAAACTGCACACCTCGTCTTATCCCAAGGATATCCGTCTCCGGCGGTATAGTCCCAACAATTACGGAGCTAACACAAAACCTACCCACAAAAAGGTCGTGTGTGACCGACCTCAATCAGTTGTCCCTTTGGCACTGCGGTCACGCTCTCAGGTCATTAAGACCACTTCAAACCCAATTTCCTCTTCAGGTACCTCTAGAAGAACCCTTCCACGGTGTGGGCAACCGGGAAGTGATAACTGCCCTCATATCTCTAACAGCACTCAAGACCACTATATTCCTAATCAATCTCTTTCTTCACTCCTTACTATTCCTTCTACCTCAACTTTCAACACTAAACTTCCTCTTTCGGGACTTAAAGTTTCAGGGTTTAACTCCTGATGGAGTCATAGGTTAGCGCGACAGAGGACTCTGATGCATAGGCTAAACAGCTATCTCGTACTCTGTAGTTTCCAATGGTTTCTCAATTAATGTCAACCTGTTAGGTTTATTTAATAATTAATTCATTATCATCAAAACTGTAATTTCTTAGAATTACATACTTTTACAGCTTGCCACCAATTAGGATCTTCTGAATTGACTATACGCAGAATTTCACCTTTTAAAAATGCCAGACCAGCTTCTGGACATGGAGTTAGTGAATCTGAGCTTGGACTGTATGAGAATAAAGCTCGAACGTGTACCTGATCCAAAAAAAGTAGTTTAAGAAAAATAATATTAATCTAGTTGATAAGCAAATAAAAAGTTTTTTAATGTTATTAACTGAACAATTTAACAACAACACATTCATAAAACGGTGTCTTTATTTCTGATTCCAGGAGAACCGTGCATACTGACTTTGATGAAGGGTCTTCAAAAAAGTAAAAACATGAAAGATAATATTTGATGTTAATGTCAATTCGGTGAATGATAAATCTTTACCCAAAAGAGTTGAAATAAGCCTGGTTTTATACCAATAATTACTAAGACTTTCAAGGAATGAATTGTGGTTAATCTTAATTTGGCTACCGGAGATGTCATTTATTCAGTCAACATTCAATTACAAAGGTATATCACTCTCTGTAAGACCTGGAAAGCCTAATTTCTATACTTAAAGGATTTGTAGTTTTGCACTGATTAAAAACCGTAATCTAGGAAGAAATAGCCGTCCAGTGTTCCTTCGTTTTCAAAGATTCTTCAAGTGAGGGATAAATATTATCTTTGAGATTAAGATTTGGTTATATTCGGGATAATTTTAAAATCGTTGGATTTTGAAACTCTACTTGGTGATAACGATGTCTAAAAATATTGGATAATTCAAATACTACTTCTTACTTGATTTTTTTCTGCTTGTTGTTTTTTCGTAATAGATGGGATCAGTTTCAATTTCACATCACCAGATATCGTTGTCTGTACATTTAAAAAGGAATTCATTTAAACAAAATTAAAAGGAAAGTATCAACTATGGTAAAAAATAAAATAAAAGTAAACTAACAGATGCAAGAATATTTTATGATAACTTTTTTAATCTTCACTCATCTATAAACAACATTAACCATAACTACATAGTACCTGATAAATATATGAATTTAGCTCGAAACCAATGAGTCATCGGACAACTTTAATTTGCATACACTAACTAAAAAATTATCCTTAAGCTTCAAAGTTGAAATCTATTGCTTTAGTGTTCCTTGTTTCATCTAAATTCTTTGTTTTATTATAATATTATCGACAATCACAGTTACATCCTGATTGTAAGCTGTGATTATGAATGTAACAGTGGTTCGGAGCTTAAAGATATTCAGTTGTTTTTATTCATATCATTTGTAGCAATGAAATCTGACTTCATATGATAATTACCACTCATAAACATGTGAGTAACGTACACTATAAAGGTGTTTATATTTTTATAAAGCTATAGCAGATTTATATGATTATTTATGTAATTATTTTGCACACTAACATGGATGAATAAATGAAAAGAGTTGCCCATTCAACATGATTACTTACAATATTGTATAATTGTAATTAGTCGAAAGAATGGGATGATAGATCTACTTTTTAAGCTTTTCAGAATTAGTCACATTTGCTATGACAAAAGAACTGATAATATCCGTATGAGTTGAATTTATACCAGAGATCGCTGCAATTGAAGACATTAATAATAAGGTAGTTCGATCATGACAAACGACCTTTAAAAATTGAACCAAAATACAAAAGTCGGTCATTAAAATGTCAACAAACATCAAATCGTTGTGTCAGCAGTTTTGAAACAGTTCATAATGATTGTTGCCTTCTGTCTCTTCCGGCACGTTGTTGTTAAATTTTATAAGACTAACTAGACCAGTGAAAAGAACATTTAATGCACCTAACCTTTGTCAATCGTTCTTGACACGATATATGGTGATTCCTCAACTAAAGGATAAGTTACCTGGTTCTACCACATCTATGTGTATCTACGAAATCCTGTGAAGAAAGCTATATTGTGCGCCCTACCAGACAACTGAGCCAACGACTTCGTGAACACATCCCTTCATGGTTAAGAATGGGTACCGTCAAAACAATACGCAACCCTGTTCTATCACACTTGATAGATAGCGGTCATGTAGCAGACAAAAATAGGTTATCTAAAGTGATTTATTGTATTCCTACCAGTTTTCCTTATGGGATTCAAACTCTTCTAGAGTTACTGCCGGTACCGAGCCCGGGTAACGGTGGAGGGTTGAGCATGGGGTTAGCGACCCCATCCCATAGAAAGAAATCTTGTTAAAAAAAAGGCCAACCAGATTAAACAAATTAAGCCATTTAAACTTTGCCCTCTGAGTTGAAGGAAGAATCATGACGCCTCAGGATGACAGTCGAGAGTTTTCGGAAGTCACGAGGTCGATGTCCCTTCTAACAACCAGAGCAACATTTTTTATAGGTACATCGAACGTCCGGACAATGTGGGAGACCGGGAAGACCAGTCAAATAGCAATGGAATTGAGGAGATACAAATTGGCAGTACTCGGAATCAGAGAAACCCATTAGACACAAGCTGGACAACAAAGGCTAGGTATGCGAGAGATGCTACTGTACTCCGGTCACGAAGGGGAAAATGCTCCACACACTCAGGGAGTTGCTCTTATGCTGTCTAGAGAAGCACAAAATGCACTTGTAGGATGGGAATCTCATGGATCCAGGATAATCAAAGCATCATTCAAAGCAAAGAAGGAGCGGATCATAATGAATATTATCCAATGTTATGCACACACCAATGATAGCAATGACGATGATAAAGATCAATTCTATGAAAGGCTGCAATCAATCATAGAGAAGTATCCAGAAAAAGACCTCATCATCCTGATGGGAGATCTAAATGCCAAAGTCGGAGTGGACAAAACAGGATATGAAGATAAAATGGGACGATATGGACTGGGAGAGAGAAATGAGAATGGGGAGAGATCCGCAAATCTATGTGCATTCAACTAAATGGTTATAGGCTGCACAATATTCCCACACAAACACACAAAGCTACATGGGTCTCATAGGATCACGCCACAGAGAACCAGATAGATCATATTTGCATCACTAAAGAATTCGGAAGATCCATGGAAGATGTGAGGACCAGGATAGGAGCTGACATAGATTCAGACCACCACTTGATGGTTGTCAGAATGAAAGTGAAGCTAAAGAAACACTGAACAACTGGGGAAACAGCAGTACAAGTGTTCAATACAGCCTTCCTACGAGATACTAACAAACTCAACGAATTCAAGATAACTCTCAACAACAGGTTCCAAGCTTTTCAGGATCTACTGAAAGAACAAGAAACTATGATAGAGGACAACTATGAAGGGATCAAAGAAGCACTAACTTGAACGTATCAGAGGATACTGGGCCGCAACAAGCATCATCATGAGGAATGGATCTCTATCGGAACCCTGGACAAGATTAAAGAAAGAAAGAACAAAATGACAGCAATTAACAACAGTCGAACACGAGCAGAGAAGTCAAGGCACAAGCAGAGTACGCAGAAGCAAACAAGCAAGTGAAGAAGAGCATTAAAGCCGACAAGCAGAAATACATGGGAGAACTAGCAACGACGGCGGAAAAACCTGCAAGAGAAGGGAATATGAAACAACTACATGATACAACGAAGAAACTAGCAAGGAGGTATAGTAAACCAGAGAGACCATTCAAAGACAAAGAAGGAAAGACAATCACGGAGATTCAAGAACAGAGGAAAAGATGGGCAGAATACTTCGAGGAACTGCTGAATAGACCAGCAGGATCTCACAATATACCAGCCGAAGCACTGAAGTCAGACATTGAAGTAACTGCGAACATGCTTCACTTATTCAAGTAGATTCGGAAGGAGGAACGAGTGCCAACGGATTGGAAAGAAGGATACCTCATCAAGATACCAAAGAAAGATCTGAGCAAATGTGAGAATTACAGAGGAATCACAATGTTGTCGGTACCAGAAGAGGTTTCCAACAGAGTATTGCTGAACCAGATGAAAGACTCAGTAGACGCCCAACCTCGAGATCAACAGGCTAGATTCCGTAAGGATCGGTCGTACACAGACCGAATCGCGACACTATGGATCATCGTTGAACAATCAGTTGGGTGAAACTCGTCACTATACATCAACTTCCTTGACTAAGAGAAAAGGTTTGACAGCCTAGGTAGGAGAACCTTATGGAACCTTCTTCGACACTATGGTGTGCCTGAGAAAATCGTCAACATCATCAGGAATTCATACGACGGACTACAGTCCAAAGTCGTGCATGGGAGACAACTGAAAAAGGCATTTCAGGTGAGGACCGGAGTCAGACAAGGCTGTTTACTCTCCCCCTTCCTCTTTCTTCCGGTGATTGACTGCATTATGAAGACCCGACATTTGAGGGGAAGCACGGAATAAAATGGACAGTTGGGATGCAACTAGACGATTTGGACTTTGCAGATAACACAGTTATTCTAGCCCACACACCAACAAATGCAGGTCATAAGACCATAAGCCTCTACATCAGTAGGCCTCAACATACACAAGGGAAAATGCAACATCCTCAAATACAACACAGAGAACACCAACCCCATCACACTTGATGGAGAAACTCTGGAAGAAGTGGAAACATTCACGTATCTGTGCAGCATCATCGATGAACGAGGAGAATCTTATGCAGATGTGATGACAAAGATTGGCAAAGGGTGACATTCCTACAGTTGAAGAACATATGGAACTCAAAACAACTCTCAACTAATTTCAAAGTGAGAATCTTCAATAAGAACGTAAAGACAGTCCTACTGTATGGAGCTGAAACGTGGAGAACTACTACAACCATCGTCAAGAAGGTACAAGTATTTATAAACAGTTGTCTACGCAAAATACTCAACATTCACTGGCCTGATACTATCAGCAACAGCGTTTTATAGGAGAGGACAAACCAGCTTCCAGATTAAGAGGAAATTAGGTAAAGACGTTGGAAATGGATCGGACATACAATTAAGGAAATCACCGAACTGCATCACGAGGCAAGCTCTAACTTTGAATTCGGAAGGGAAGCGGAAAAGAGGAAGTCCAAAGAAGACATTACACCGGGAAATACAAGCAGATATGGAAAGAATGAATAACAAATGGAAAGGATTGCCGAGGACAGTGTTGGCTGGAGAATACCGGTGTGCGGCCTATGCTCCTCCATAAAGGGTAACAGGCGTAAGTAATCCAAGTCTTTGTATTCACAAAAAATTTGTAATACTTCTATCTCTCCCTTGGCATTAATAAACGGTTTGATTTTATTTATTTTCCATGCTCTTTGTTTCGTTTATTTTCATTCACCCCCTCCAACCTATTTTCCCAAATATACGCTTCATTCACTTGGTGTTGTATACCATTGTTATTCAGGATTGCAATTGATCAATCTCTTGTTCGCTTCATTGTTCTACTATCTGAACACTTCTTATCACATGATCTTATAGTTTTCATAAATGACATTTCAGTATATATATTTTTCATATCATTGACCCATTTCTCAATATGAAGCATTCATTCGAGCTTTTGTTATCACATCTAGTACACGTGTCATAATATTATCAATTTACACTCTTTACTTATTATGTTTATTTACGTAATCTGTCCCACTGGCTCATAAACTGCCTTGGTTGGTTTAGTAGTTTCGTATATGCATATAAATGTTAGGGTATATTAGAGTAAAACCTGATGGAGATCTAATCGAAAACAATCATGTCCGCTTATATATATTGTTCGAATTTTATTAAATCTGAAAAACTATATCCAGTTGAGTTTTGTAACCCTTTTACAAAAATACCTGGTCAACCAACATCAATCAACATAAAGAACTCAACAGTATGAAACTATTTAATGCCAAGTGACCTAATTCTAATATATTCATATTGTCAGTCAATGATCCAAAAACGGTGATAACTTGAAAAAATCGCTTCAGACAGTAAAATTATGCCTTTATGGACATCATTGGAAATACCAATGTTTACAATAAGACTAACTCATTTATCATAACCCTTCTTATGTCTATACATATTATACAAGAGTATTGATTAATTTTGGATAAAAAGTAAATAATTTATAATGCTGATAAATAAGCTACTGACCAACATTCGTATCACTTCCATAGGGTCTCGACCATGTACGGTAATACCATTAATTTCTTGAATTTCATCCCCGACGTCAATAGCATCTGAAGAAAGCATGACCACATAAGAAATAAAAGCCTACACTTGAATTGATTTATATTACTGTACAATTAATCACATTACTTAACGAAGGAGTAGACGTAAATATTATTTTTATACGACAAAGTGGTTGTACCACAATAAATAGTTGAAACCTTTTTCTTGAAAAATACATCAGGCTTTATTTTGTGAATTTGGAATTTCGTTACATTATATATATACAAAGTATTTACATGAAATTAATGAATGTATACATCATCAAGTCAGTTACGTACAGGGTAATGCCTAATTGCGGTACAGATCAGCACTAAAGGATCATACATGAATAAAATCGGTCACTGCTCAGTGATCAACCAATTTTCAATATCTCAGTCCTATATGAGGATAGTCGAGAACCGAAAAACTCGAATGTAGTGTCTCAGGTGACGTTGGGTGACTCGAATTTGAATCCCACACAGAGCACCAGTTTCTTCAAGATTGTAGATACTTGTTGACGAGTGCCAATTACCAAGAAACATAGCTATAGGGTTTCTTATCGACTATCTTTGTTCACCTAAAACTAAAACTTAGCGCACGCGATGTCCATTCACTTAGAGGAGTTGTCCTATTGCAAATTGATCAGTAGAATTCGATCAACACTAAAGGATTACAACAACGCATGTAAGTGAACAATTGTTTTCAATTAGATCGTCATCAGGCTTTACTCTAATATACATGAATATTTATATAAAAATGTTAGACCAATCAAGGCTATTTGAGTCAATAATCACAATGAAATAGAATACGTTACCAAGCATAATAATAGTTAAAAGTACAAGTTGATAGTGGGAAGACAGGTGTACTGATAGTAGTAAGAATAGTAAATTATAGTTAATTGAGGAGTCCCACAATAGGACGAAACGGCCGTCCAGTGTTTCCAGGCTTTCCATGGTGGTCTAGCTTCAATTGACTCACGCTTTCAACTATAATAAATACTAAATCTCCACAAAACCCCTTCTATAATTAAATGTAAGAAGAGGTCAAACGTGGGTAAATAGACTGGAATAGTAATCACAAAGCATTAAAATCATAATAGATAGTGAAGAATACAAACGGAAAGAGGTAGAAAATTACCAAAAAAAAATGATAACCAAAATAAAATTTTTACAAATAATAATAATATCATTTATTAAGTTATGTCCGGCCATGGAAGGGATAGGGGGGTTACGAATTTCTTCTGTACACATAAATTGGGATGAAATGTATGAATTCCTATGGCTTCTGCTATATGAAGTAGACGGGAGCGAACTCCGTTGGGAAACGATGGAGGTATACGGTAGATCACTTGAAATGATTTCAATTTATCGACAATATGACCACTATCAATTAGATGTGCCAAGATAGAACTGCGTATTGTTTTTATTTGGCCCTTTCCAAACCATGCTGGTAGATGTTCACTCATTCGTTGGTTAAGTTGCCTAGTAGTACGCCCGATATAGCCATCTCCACAGGAGCAGCTGAACTTATAAATGCACATAGAGGAGGCCAACTCAGGTAACTTATCCTTCGTTTGAGTAGACATCACTGGTCGACTCGAGAAAGTCAATGCGAGATAGGCTGCGTAGAAAGTTCTACTAATTACTTTTGTTAACCTATCTTTCAGAGTTTCACTAGCTACATCCCCGTTGAATGGTAATTTCATGTATAGAGGCTTCTTACGAACAGTTGAAATCTCCGATTTCTTCCTTGTATCATACATGTACTTTTTGATGAACGCAGCAGGGTAGCCGATCTCAGTCAGTGAGTTATAGATAAATTGCAGTTCCTGACTTAAAGTATCAACAGAACAGATCTTATTTGCTCTACTAGTGAGACATCTAACCAAGTTTCTCTTATATTGGATAGGTGTAAAGCTATAGAAGTGAGTGTATTGGCAGGCAGAGGGTCTTTTTCTATACACGCTTCTACTTAACGAGCCATCACTTCGCCTGCTTAGTGTAACGTCAAGGAAATTCAGCTTCATGTCACACTCGCCTTCACCAGTGAAGCTAATCGCTGGGTGTACACTGTTGAACTGATCTAGTAGTTCATCCTTACTGGTGTTCTGATCCACGACAATGAATGTATCGTCGATGTAGCGGCAGTATAGATCGAGCTTCCTAATAGCTTCCTTAAGTGGGCCATTTTCTAGCTTAGCTATACCAGATAAGGAATTTCCTTTCGACCCGAAACGGTACGTACACAATTTTTCCAATATCGAACTAGATGTAATACAACTAGAAGCATTATCTTTGGGGCCTAAGTTCTATGATAGTAGACATAAAGTCAACCAATTAGATATTGATGTACAGTTTGAGAATCTATTTTCACAAGTGACTACCTCATTAGAGGACGTAGTCAGGTTTAAGACCACTTTAGTTGACAGCAGCCAACAATATAAGAATAGTAAGATTACTACAAACCGCCTACTTACCAAGTAGCACCGAGACTCTTTAACTAAGCTAAGAAAGGAGGAAACCTTGATTATAAGCAAACCTGATAAAGGAGGAGGCATAGTGCTGATGAATAAAAAGGACTACGTTGAAAAGATGGAAACAATGCTTAATGATCCCAGCAAATTTCAAAAAGTCACCAGTCATTCCGATATCAATAAAAAAGTGGAAAACCAATTGACTAACTTTTTTAAGGATTTAAAGAATAAGGGAATAATTACACAAGAGATTCTTGATTCTATTAAACCGTCTGGATCTTATACGCCACGACTGTATGGTTTACCCAAAGTTCATAAACCAGGTCTTCCACTTTTTTATTGATATCAGAATGACTGGTGACTTTTTGAAATTTGCTGGGATCATTAAGCATTGTTTCCATCTTTTCAACGTAGTCCTTTTTATTCATCAGCACTATGCCTCCTCCTTTATCAGGTTTGCTTATAATCAAGGTTTCCTCCTTTCTTAGCTTAGTTAAAGAGTCTCGGTGCTACTTGGTAAGTAGGCGGTTTGTAGTAATCTTACTATTCTTATATTGTTGGCTGCTGTCAACTAAAGTGGTCTTAAACCTGACTACGTCCTCTAATGAGGTAGTCACTTGTGAAAATAGATTCTCAAACTGTACATCAATATCTAATTGGTTGACTTTATGTCTACTATCATAGAACTTAGGCCCCAAAGATAATGCTTCTAGTTGTATTACATCTAGTTCGATATTGGAAAAATTGTGTACGTACCGTTTCGGGTCGAAAGGAAATTCCTTATCTGGTATAGCTAAGCTAGAAAATGGCCCACTTAAGGAAGCTATTAAGAAGCTCGATCTATACTGCCGCTACATCGACGATACATTCATTGTCGTGGATCAGAACACCAGTAAGGATGAACTACTAGATCAGTTCAACAGTGTACACCCAGCGATTAGCTTCACTGGTGAAGGCGAGTGTGACATGAAGCTGAATTTCCTTGACGTTACACTAAGCAGGCGAAGTGATGGCTCGTTAAGTAGAAGCGTGTATAGAAAAAGACCCTCTGCCTGCCAATACACTCACTTCTATAGCTTTACACCTATCCAATATAAGAGAAACTTGGTTAGATGTCTCACTAGTAGAGCAAATAAGATCTGTTCTGTTGATACTTTAAGTCAGGAACTGCAATTTATCTATAACTCACTGACTGAGATCGGCTACCCTGCTGCGTTCATCAAAAAGTACATGTATGATACAAGGAAGAAATCGGAGATTTCAACTGTTCGTAAGAAGCCTCTATACATGAAATTACCATTCAACGGGGATGTAGCTAGTGAAACTCTGAAAGATAGGTTAACAAAAGTAATTAGTAGAACTTTCTACGCAGCCTATCTCGCATTGACTTTCTCGAGTCGACCAGTGATGTCTACTCAAACGAAGGATAAGTTACCTGAGTTGGCCTCCTCTATGTGCATTTATAAGTTCAGCTGCTCCTGTGGAGATGGCTATATCGGGCGTACTACTAGGCAACTTAACCAACGAATGAGTGAACATCTACCAGCATGGTTTGGAAAGGGCCAAATAAAAACAATACGCAGTTCTATCTTGGCACATCTAATTGATAGTGGTCATATTGTCGATAAATTGAAATCATTTCAAGTGATCTACCGTATACCTCCATCGTTTCCCAACGGAGTTCGCTCCCGTCTACTTCATATAGCAGAAGCCATAGGAATTCATACATTTCATCCCAATTTATGTGTACAGAAGAAATTCGTAACCCCCCTATCCCTTCCATGGCCGGACATAACTTAATAAATGATATTATTATTATTTGTAAAAATTTTATTTTGGTTATCATTTTTTTTTGGTAATTTTCTACCTCTTTCCGTTTGTATTCTTCACTATCTATTATGATTTTAATGCTTTGTGATTACTATTCCAGTCTATTTACCCACGTTTGACCTCTTCTTACATTTAATTATAGAAGGGGTTTTGTGGAGATTTAGTATTTATTATAGTTGAAAGCGTGAGTCAATTGAAGCTAGACCACCATGGAAAGCCTGGAAACACTGGACGGCCGTTTCGTCCTATTGTGGGACTCCTCAATTAACTATAATTTACTATTCTTACTACTATCAGTACACCTGTCTTCCCACTATCAACTTGTACTTTTAACTATTATTATGCTTGGTAACGTATTCTATTTCATTGTGATTATTGACTCAAATAGCCTTGATTGGTCTAACATTTTTATATAAATATTCATGTATATTAGAGTGGTCTATCGGTTAAGGGCTTCGGCTCGAAACTGGTAGGTCCCGGGTTCGAATCTCGCGCAAGCGGGTTCGTGGATGCGCACTGCTGAGGAGTCCCATAATAGGAGGAAACGGCCGTCCAGTGTTTCCAGGTTTTCCATGGTGGTCTAGCTTCAATTGACTCATGCTTTAAAACTATGAAAAATACTAAATCTCCACAAAACCCCCTCTGATTATTAGAGTAAAGCCTGATGACGATTTAATTGAAAACAATTGTTCTCTTACATATGTTGTACTAAAGGATTAAACAAAAATGACATTGGTTATTACTAGGTAGTCAATCAATAGCAAATTTGTTTTGGTCACGATTTTACCTACCAAGGTTATCGCACCAAATTCATCATGTAAGGGGTTGAGAGAATCACTGGATTATCAAGCTTGCATAACAGACCATATATAAGTTGGGAGGAGATAGGTTTGAAAAATGAGTCACCTGGTTAACCAAAATACTGATTAATGTTCTCTTAGTTTTAGGGTCATATTGATTACCCATTAATATACAATAGTTTTATTTATAATAACAGTGATACATGAACTTGAGTGATAGTCTTTACTACTTTGTCCTAGTCTAATTAAGTTAGTCAAATGTTAAATAAATACTTCACTAAATTAATTTGAGGTCGCTGAATTTTTCGGGAATACTTTCAATTTATTTTGTTTACTACTCGATTTATTACAAATGCTTGATGAGGATCTAAAATGTCGCTTTGATAATTACTCTATTACTTTTTCCATGATCCGAGAATAAATAATAAAACGTCACCGTCTAGTGATTATTTCATTTATAAGATTCAGTCTTTCTGTTATTAGAATATTTAAGATTTCCTGAACAGTAACTTGATTCATATCAATTAATACAAACACAAGTATTGATATGCGCTTATTTACAAACATGCACTGTACATTGAAGCTTTGAATACAACACTCTCAAATTAACTATCCACTACCTCATTTCAAAACCAAACCAGAATGCTTAAAACCATATATCCATAAAGTTTTATAAAAACGGTAATCAATAACCTTTGTGTCCTTGTAAATAATTCTGTTTCACATAGACTCGAAAATTTCTGTCTACACTCCAGAATCTAGGTCTATGAATAGCTTGTACTGCTCTACTATATATTGATCATTAACTAGCCGTGAACTCATCTGCACTTGTAACCATTATGTTAGTCATCAAAAGAAACACTATTATTACGGTCTGTTTTAATGTTAGATGAGATATCATTAGAATAGTTGCCTTCCCAATAGGTTTGCTGTTTCGAAAGTGTTTACCACAAAGTAAGATCATGTTTTCCTTCCCATTCAAAATAAAAATCACCTTAAATGCGCCACATTGACAAACGCATGATGTTTTTAGTAATCCTTTACTTCTTAAATGATCTATAATAGATTCATCAAAATTATTTATTAGCCGTTAAGCTTACTAGTAGAACTTGGAGGTTCATGGACGAAGTTCACTTTGTAGTTTAAATCATGAATCAACGGTAGCTAGACAGTCCCTATGAACCAGGAAGCAGTGGACAGCTTTTTCGTCGAATTATTGGACTCCTTAACCGTGCTCATCCAAAACCTCAGCACGGATATCACCAAGGACCTTCATACATTGCAGCAAGAGCTTAAACTTAAGATAATTGAAGTGGCATCCAATGACCTACATGTCCAGCATCAATCAGTTCATAATATCATACGACTATCATTCATCCTCATTGGTGGTGCTTGTCTAGCGTTCAGAAAGGTTGAACTCCTCTATTCACAATTTTTTATAGTTAATCATTAATGTGCACAAATTTATAATTAGAACAATAGGTTTACCGGAGTTTTACTGTGGAAACAACCGACAAACAGCTAACTTCATTTACATTAATCAGCCTCAGGATAGCTCAAAAATGGTATACCTTTTATAACATTACTGATTTTTTATCAGTATATCTATCAGGGACGTTCTAAATATATTAAAGTGAATAAATAATTTGTTATCTTCAGAGTTTAAATCACAAACTGATCTAAGCTATACCATCATTGGAAACCTGGGGGCAATGGACAGCCGTTTCGTCCACTTACGGGACTAATTAGCGGTGCACATACATAATCTTTTATCCGGGAATTGAATCAGGGACCTCTAGTATCGCGCGAACGCTTAATCTATGAACTACTGAACCAGGATTCAACAGTGTTAATGTTTAACTTCAATCAATTTACAATAATATGCAACCATCATCTATTGATTGAAGTTATTTATACTGTGAAAATTCTTAAATCTCCACAAATCTCGTATACTAAAAATAAAAGATCTATCAAAATAACATCATTAACATATTCATATGATGAACTAACTGATAAAGAATTCTGTGAACAATCCTAATATTCCACATTTAGACAAATAGTATAGTTCATTTTAACGAATTTACTTTTTTTACCTGTACGATCAGCAGCTCCACCGTGCATAACACGTGCAACTAGAACAGCTCCATTTCTTTCATTAATTTTAATTGTAACTCCAAGTGGCTCATGATTCTTGATTAAATTTACAACCTTTTTGTTAATTATTAATAGGAAATGAGATATCTTTTTTTGAAATGAAGTTTACCTTCACGCTTATATCATCTTCATCTACTTCTGATGATATCTGTGGTAGAACTGGTCCATAAGCTTTGTTCGCTATTCCATCATGACAAAGTAACAACGACTAGAAGAATTTGCATCCCTCTCTCTCTGTAAATAACTTACTTTAATATGTGGTCTAGCTAATAAATTAACTAACTGTTCTGCTTCAGGAATATAATGATGACATCTTAAATGATCATAAGCCTTCAATAAAAGAAAGAAATAATAAAATGGAAAACAAATCAATGTACTACTTCAATAGCAGCAGCCTTTGCACATAATGATATCGGTTGAGGTTTTGCTTGAGACAGTAACAATTCAATTTGTTCATATGTCTTTAATTTATTTGAATAAAGTCACAATAAAAAATATACCTTGGAGAAACGTGCATTGACATTTTCGCTTCCTGACTTAGCACAAGTTCCGAAAGCTAGAGACATTTTGTAAATACTAATACAGTAAAAATTCAATGACTAGGATTTATTCCTTGACCTTGTAAATGATTGGTTAATGGAGAATCGATAAAATATCTTATCAGGTTCAATAGCAGAGGACAAATAACGTTAGCCAATCGTAAAAAGTAAGCTTCTTTGATAGTTCTAAATGATGTTCCTTTACAAATAGATTATTTTTTAACGAATCTAAATAAACTAACTTTTAGTGATTTTATTATGTCATGTCGGAAAAGATTTGATGAGTCGGTGTTTTTGTGGTATTTCTTCGTAAATTGCAAAAAAACAGATAGATCTTCATACATTAGACAACAATGTTGAAAATTTAGCGTGAATGAAGGAAAGTTCAAAATCTACTTATCTCTCATTTGATTTGTCTATTTCAGAGGATAGGAAGGGATCTGTTTCCCATGTATTTTGACAGCAACACGATTCTTCCATTCTCGGATAACACCCACGGACCTACACGAGCGAGCTCAAGAGAGAAAAATATGATGGACGAAGATTTATTCCCATACCCAAACCAGTCTCATTATACTGACTTTTATGAGTTTAATTCACATTGACTCTTAGATTCCAGCTATACGATTACTCACATGCCTATTACAGCTACATGCTGACAAACGTTTTGAATCCCAACTACTGAACAGTTTAAACCCATACAACTGAAACAACAGAACGTGGCAGTGAATTAAATTCGTCAGTGAAACCAGTGACAGTAAGTATTCAGTGACTTCTAGTATAATCACATATAAACACCACGGATTTTCGATTATGACCCTTACTTTTTATGTTATTAATTCGACAATTGACACCAAAGAGATGTTAAATATTTTATTTTATCAAACACTTCGACCAGGTGTTTTCCTACTTTGTCACTCTCAAAGGAAGATTAACTGACCGACGGCTATCACCACGACACAGTTTAAGGTCATATCTAGCTCTATAGTTTGGTCGTTTTTGATGGGGGCTTCGAAAATAAGTTCGTTATCGCAACTTATTTAGAAATAGTGGTATAGCTTGTATTAGTTCATTTAAATTTGTTTGCTCATCTTTACTAGCCTTATTATTAATTATCCCAACAGTTATGCGACTTTGATAATCCAGTAAGTACTAGATACTGGTGCATTTACTCTTTAATGTCGAGGTACTCCAGAGATATGTATGTTCTCGATTGGACTCCATATATAGTAGGTGCCTCTTGTTCATGAGTCTTGAACTAGAACGAAATACTATCTATTGTAGATGTTCATTGTCTACAGAATGAGTACCAGTGAGTACATCGACACATAATTATTAGTTCATGATTTCATTTGTTCCAGACAGCTACACTTTCTTACATTGGCTTATAACATGTAGATTTTTGACATATCTTATTTTGAATACATACTCTTAACTAATTTTCTCAACCTGTTTTTATTTCAGTCACAAAATATTTAAGTATCTGAAATATGGAAAATATGGTATAATACTACCTGTTTGCCTAAGCTAACGTATGGAAAAATTTTCCCATGGAAAATTAAGCCACATTTTTTCACTAGTGGCATGTACCTCAACCTGAGAAAAGTGTTATGTCCTAGCACCAACCAATGCGCATAGATGACCTGAAGCAACCGATACGCAACAACGACAAGAAGACTAATATTCTATGCCTGAAGGTTGGCCAAACACTAACTGGACCCGAAAGAAGAAGAACATACAACCAATGATCCCCAGTTCAGGATCGCTGTTACATTTCAGACATTCACTTACATACATACAAGACCAGATCATGTAGCAGACCCATTGAGCAACAGTACTAAAATGGAGCAACAACATTACTGATGGGAAAAACGTAGTGAGTACACAAATAATCAGTTCTAATTTATGAGTTGAATTTGTCATGGAAACAATGTACGATTCAAATAAAAGCTTGGAGCTAGGATAATACGAAAATAAATATATATTTAAATAAAACCTTGGAAAAATAGCTTCGAAAGTCTTACCTCATAGTGAAATTATTTCTCATAACAAAAAAGGAAGTTCGATTTTGATCAATTATGTGCATTTATCGTTCATCTACATCATCAGTTACAAGTTCAGAACTGATAAGTTGATGTCTTAATGATAGCAGTTGGCACAGAAGTAGCTACTGACAATAGATAATTTATGTAGCTTTTTTAAATATTGTCATATACATTTAGAGGTACTTGGAGAACCACCACCAACTAGGGATCTATAGACAGTTGTTTTGTACTCAACGGAAAGGTACACTGGCAAACCTGTGTTGAACCGAACCCAGGACTTACATGTTTCGAGGTCACTACATTACCATTTAGTAACCGGATCGAAACCTTATGTTTCGTACTTTCAAGCTTTGATGATACGATGACCTGCCATTGGTTTGTAATAGTCTTGGTTGTTAGTCAGGCTGTATTACAAAGTCTAACCAACGACGTAAGCTATATCTTTCTGCACTGGAAATATGTTTACATATTCGTAATGGGCGATAAGCATATTGATGTAGTTTGGTTCAATCATATTTAATGACGTATGAAAAGACACCAAGCTAACTTGGGAAAAGGATAAATAAAGGTCTTTTTGTATATATATTTTAGAGGCGACGTAACTGTTTGATAAAAACGACCAAGTTATAGGTGAAATACTTGAGCAGAACAGTATATAAGATCTTACTGCTTTTGGCCATTACAACACAAACGGAATTCAGTAAGGTGTCTATTCGACGCACGTGTGGTGTGAAATACCTTTTAAAACATGTGAATCAACAAAGTCAAATGACATCTAAATTCTTTCTCCATTTCGCGCTGAAGAAAAAGGGTTGACAACTTAGTACCACATAAAGTCAAAAAAAACTTAGAGAAGAGGATAGCAAAGTCAATGATGTGACACTATAGATGAGTTAATCGTCACTGGGGATTAAATCCATATTTCCACGTACGCTTCAATACTGCAAATATGAGTTAAATACCGCTGAGTTCAGCAAACTATGTGAGCGTAAGTACGGAGAAGAGCTCAACATACACAATCAAGTGATGGAATATAGACCCCATGTCAGTTGGGATTCTAATCTCGGATAAGTACAGGCGGTAGGCATCCATGCTACTCTATAGCCAAATCTGGAATAGAAATAGCATGGGATTGACTTCAAGACATTTGAAATATATATGGAAACTACTATGGGGACATTCTTAGATCGGTTTATATGTTCAAAAGGATTGTTCTTATCTTTCGCTTAACCTAAAAGAGATTACTTCAAAGTAGAGTAAAAATGTGCTATAATTTGAAGGTCCACTTCTCAACTACAATTTCTAAACAGGATACCATCAGACTATTTAATGTAGGTAGGAATTCTTTCAAGTAACAAAGCAGTAGTAGGTTACAAGTTTTATAAGACTAAATTGTATACTTTTGGTTTGTCTAGGATTTCACCTTCATTTTACCTATACGTCCAGTAATTTGGAATTATTCATGTTTACGACGTTTGCTTCCTATGTATTTGCATTAATATTTTCTCTCAGTGATAAACCTCTACTCATTTATAAAAAACCCAACTATATGCAAATCCATGCAATAAGGGCAAATCACACCATTTTTCTGGTGTTTTTAAGTTAATATCAGTACAAGGATTCTACTCACAAGAACGATGCCTCCCATTAAAATAGTGGTATTTTTCAGACATCAAAATCCTGAATTTTAACCATAAGATTAATCCATCTAAAAAAGATACTTGGAAGTGAATATGGTTAGTATTTTAAGTCAACATATTCTGAAGTTTCATAGTTGAAAGCATGAGTCAATTGAAGCTAGACCACCATGGAAAACCTGGAAACACTGGACGGCCGTTCCGTCCTCAGCAGTGCGCATCCACGAACCCGCGCTCGCGAGATTCGGACTGCTGAGGAGTCCCATAATAGAACGAAACGGCCGTCCAGTGTTTCCAGGTTTTCCATGGTGGTCTAGCTTCAATTGACTCATGCTTTCAACTATGAAACATACTAAATCTCCACAAAACCCCTTCTGATAATTAATATTCTGCAGTAATTTGAATACTTTGTGCATTATATTTATAAAGATTATATTCACAATGATTATAATGGAACATCTAGAAAATGAATGAGATGATGAAAAAAGTTGCAATTATTTCCCACAAAAAAAAGTGTTAGCAAGTTTTTATTTTGGAACAGCACGTAAACAATGAGTAAACCAGAGTAAGGATGAAAGCAAAACAACACCACCGCATTGATGCAATGATCCCAATGAAACTGGTACATAACACAATAAAGTTGTTATGCCAAGTAATGACTGTCCTAATACAGCACCCAAAACCAAGTGTGCAGCATTCCTAATACGTGGTCCTGTACATGCTACACCTAAACGCATGACATTTACCCACAATAATCCTGTGGTTAAAACTGTTGTATAAGCTAGCATCCGATGAATAAATTGAACTGCAGTTGGATTGTCCAAAACGTTTCTCACAGTAGAACCATAACGAGATACAATTAAATCATCAGGAATCCACTTATCAGCCATTTTTGGCCATGAATTATAGATTAATCCTGCATCAAGACCGGCAACAAAAGCACCTAAGTAGTAGTAAACAAAAAAGGAAACACCTAATTTACCACCAATTCAACAAAGAAACAATCAAATGTGTACAGAAAAACGAAAACATAGAACAACAACATAACCAATATCAAAATTTTAACTGGGAATCCCAATAACAATAGACAGTGTTTCAAAAAAGAACATATCCAATCCTTAAAATCATGATAAAGTTCCAGTGTATATCATATGTTTCATTTTCGGAGTTAGAAGAGGTGATAGTTTCTTTGAAGAATAAAATCTTAGATGTTGGCAATGCATATACACCAGATAAGCATAGAGTTCACTTGATAATCAGTTCTGCTAAGTGATGTGCGGTAATGAGAGTAAAGTATGATTGGTCGTTAAGCGTGGACAGCCTACAGACGTAAATATGTGATTCTCCTTCTTATCATTGATTTTTACTTCGGACTCACCGTGCGTGACTGCTTGTAATTGTGTTGAATAAAATAATATCTAGCGTTTATCTGGTTCTCTATTCTCAGTTGTTAATCCTAGTCCTGATATAACGTGATTAGTCTTATTAACGTATTTTCTTAATATACGTGTAACAGAGTAAAATGTTGTAAACCATCCGTCATATCAGTAAGTATAATTAGTCATATTAATGCGTTAATTGTTTAAAATTGAAGTTATTAAAGTGATCATTTTATTTGCTTAGATGATATTTATTATAAGCAGAAGATGATAACCAACTGATATTCAAGTACAACTGTTGTAAAATATTAATATTCTCCCCTCATTGTGAGAGATGCACTGTTGTTGCAGTGAATATTAATTCTAGCAAAAAAAATTTAAAATGTCTATCCCCGTTATTAATTAAGGAGTAAACAGATTTTATAGTTGAATTCATGAGTCATTTGAAGCTAGACCATCATTGAAAACCTAGAAGCACTGGACGGACAATTCGTTTTATTGCGGGACTCCTCAGCAGTGCGCATCCACGATCCCACCTTGCGAGATTCGAACCCAGGACCTATCAGTCTCGCGCGCGAGTGCTTAAACTCTAGACCACTGAGACGGCATCCAACGGCGCTAATGTCTAACTTCAACCAATCCACGAAATCGAGGAACCACCCATCATTGTCTTCAGTGAGTCACTATCTCACAACAGAACTGGTTAAACTCCACTGGTCACTGCTTGTCACTAGGACTCCAGGAAATACCGCTTGAAGCCAGTCACGGATGAGCATATGATGCAAGCTCAGTGGTCTAGAGGTTAAGCGCTCGCGAGCGAGACTGATAGGTCCTGGGTTCGAATCTCGCAAGGTGGGATCGTGGATGCGCACTGCTGAGGAGTCCCGCAATAAAACGAAACGTCCGTCCAGTGCTTCCAGGTTTTCCATGGTGGTCCAACTTCAATTGACTTCATTTATTTATTTAAACACATACATATTGGTACAAGGAAACTCGTCGTTGTCTCTTCGTCATCTCTGCCTACTCTCCCACTGACTGTAGCTCATACGATATAAAAGATGAGTTCTACAGGAAACTTTCTGACCTTCTCCGAAAAGCTAGACGTTCTGATGTAGTAATAGTGGCTGGTGACTTTAATGCTCAAGTAGGTAAACCAAGCGAAAGATGCGTGCGTGGATCTTATGGTGTCGTGGCTAAAAGAACAGATAATGGCGACCGTCTGTTGCAGCTGTGCTCAGATAACCGCCTATTTCTTGCAAACACTAACTTTAAGCATAAGGAAAAACATCTTTTGACATGGCGAACCCCGAATTCGTCCCAACGTTGGACCCAATTAGATCACATCGCTATCGGCCACCGATGGAGGGGCTCGATAGAAGACTGTCGCTCATTCTGGGGCACATGTTTAGATTCAGATCATGCTCTAGTGCGAGCACGTATCTGTCTGCGACTTACTGGACGTAGGAAAGACACTGCAGGGAAGCCTCTAAGGGTTCTACTTAATGATAAGCAAGCTAAGAATATATTTCAGGAACAACTGGAAAAACAGTTAGGCAGACATGAAAGTTGTGTCCACCCAGAAGCAGCGTGGAATGACATCCGAAAAGTTATGGAAAAAGCTGTAACATCTGCTAGTAAGGTAAGCCATAAGGTCAGGGAGAAACAATGGATCTCGGCAGCATCTACCGCACTGATAGATGCTCGAAAACTCATCCCTCCTGGCTATGAACATAACGAAGAGCGGAATCAGCTTAAGCGAAGGCTAATAAGAAGCCTACGCAGTGATCGTGAACAGTGGTGGGTAGCGAAAGCAAGAGAGATGGAAAGGGCAGCGGCAATAGGTAACAGCAGACAGCTGTTCAGACTTATTAAAGAAACCGGCATTAGGAACCCAACTATTAGCGAAATTATCTCAGACAAAGATGGGCATATCATTCATTCTCAATCCAGGAGATTGGATCGATGGGCAGAACACTTTAGGGATCAGTTCAACTGACCTTCAGTTACCCACGATCACCAGTCGTCCTGAATAGCAAAGTCCTCCAACTCTCTACGAGGTTGAAAAAGCTATAGGAAATCTAAAGCGAGGGAGAGCCGCAGGCCCTGACAAGTTTACCCCTGAGATTTTTAAGGATGGTGGTCCAGTACTAGCAGCGAGATTGACTGAGGCCTTAGGTAGAATCTGGGAACTGGACGTAATTCCATCTGATTGGTCCCAATCACTGATTGTGCCAGTCTATAAGAAAGGACAAAAGTCCTCCTGTGACAATCACAGAGGGATCAGTTTGACTAATATAGTGTCTAAAATATTAGCTTCAATAATACTTGGACGCCTAACCAAAGCTCGTGAAGAGCAGACTAGAGAAAACCAGACTGGTTTTCGACCTGGACGTGGTTGCATAGACCAGATATTCACTCTACGTCGGGTCCTAGAACATAGACATACATTCAGACGTCCCACAATAGTAGTATTTCTTGACCTTAAGGCGGCATTTGACTCCGTTGATCGTGATGTTCTATGGCAGTGTTTGTCAGTGAAAGGAGTACCAAAGAAGTACATCAACCTCATAAAGACTCTCTACTCGAACACAACTGGTCGACTTAGAGCTTATGGCGAACTGTCATCAGAATTGGTTACCTCAAGTGGTGTTCGTCAGGGCTGTCCACTCTCCCCATTCTTGTTTAACTTTGTCGTTGACATGCTTTTTAGAGGTATCACTTTCATCATCTCAATCTCCTGGAGTTGAACTTTCACCAGGAGGCTCACTTGTTGACTTAGAATACGCCGGCGACATAGTTTTATTCGGTGAAGACTGACAAAATGCAGAGTCTTCTGACCACTATAAGCAACAATGCAGGCATGTTCGGGATGCGATTCTCTCCCTCGAAGTGCAAAATGTTACTTCAGGATTGGGTTGCATCGACACCTGAACTAATGATAGGGAATGAAGTAGTTGAGCTTGTTGACAGCTTCACTTATCTTGGGAGTCTCATCAGCTCTTGTGGACTGGTGTGTGACGAAATCTTAGCACGGATACAGAAGGCTCGTCTAGCTTTTGCCAACTTGCGTCATTTATGGTGTAGGTGAGATATCCGTCTAGCAAAAAAAGGACGGGTTTACTGTGCAGCAGTCCGTTCCCTCCTACTTTATGGCAGTGAAACATGGCCCATAAGAGTAGAGGATATTCGTAGGCTACTAGTGTTCGATCATAGATGTCTTCGAAGGATTGCTCGTATATCCTGGGACCACCGGGTAAGTAATGCAGATGTTAGGAAACGGATACTAGGTATGGATGGCAAATCAATTGATGAAGTAGTGAAACTTCACCAGTTGAGATGGCTGGGACATGTGTTACGCATGCCCAACCACCGACTGCCCCGATGTGCAATGCTTTATGGTGTAGGAGTGGGTTGGTAGAAAGCTAGGGGCGGCCAGATCAAAACGTAGCACAAATCAATGAAGTCACTGACAGGTGGACTGAGCCATGTTGGTAGGTGTTGACTACCTGATTGGGATCCGCGAGATGGTAGCAGCCGATGGTTAGAAACCCTGAATGACATGGCTCAAAATCGTGTGCAATGGTTAAGTTGTTTGCATGGCGAAGGTGCATACACTCTTTGCGTTCTCCCGAATTCTAATCTGAATTATTCATGTCTCTATCCCTTTTCTCTTTCCAAATTTATTTCATTGTATTATACTCCTTCAATAACATCTTCAAACCCTAATCTTTCCGATTACTGCTTATACTCTTACTACTTCTACCATTATGGGATTTGAATCGACAACTTCATCTCTGTGCTAATGTGGTATGGCAACTCGAACTGATGTACGTACGTACGAAGTTCTACGTTGTAACTGACTGACTGACGAACCCCAACCTGGTAATCTGGAAGGATCAACAGAAGCCAACCCTTTGCAGCTTTCTTTCATACCACGACACCATGTCATACATTGACCTCCTCTCCGCTTTTTCCAACCAGTCTCAGCGTTGACAAATAATGCACGACGAGTAATTCTCTGAGACGACATTCGTAGAACATATCACAGCCACCGAAGTTGATGTTTCAAGATGGTGACACTAATTGGATTATCGTCTCTGACCCGAACACACGATGTCGAACCTCCGCATTACTAACATGGTGTTGTCACTGGATGTCAGCAATCCTTCGGAGACAACGATGATCGAACACAGAGAGACGTCTAACATCCTCAACTCGGAGAGGTCAGGTTTCACAAACATAAAACAAAACTGCTCTCACAGACGCGTTGTAGATCCGACCTTTTAAGTTCAGACTAACATCACCAAAGCGCTAAAGATGACCGGGATTGACATAAGCCGCTCTGACTTTTACTATACGTTAATTGATATCATCACTCACACCACCACCAGCACTTATGCAACGACTCAAATACAGGAACTTCTTGACTACTTCTATCTGCTCACTATCTAGGGTGAGTGCAGGATCAGCGTCCTATCAGTCTTGTTAAAGTACTTCGTTCTTTGAAGGTGCAGGTGTACAGAAAATATAGGATTTTTATAGTATTTTAGAAATCCTTGGGTTA